ACTATATTTTTGGCCTCTGTTCAGAGTACCACGTATTGTTTATGTTTCTCTATTTCTTCAGCTATGTTCCTGGCTGCCTGGTATTGCTTCCATGCCTTTTTTTTCTCCTACTTTTAATTTGACTTCTTCTGTCCACCAAGGTGGGCTTGGGACCGGTCTTAGCAGAGTTGGTACTGATCTCACTGATATTTATATTTGTCTTATATATGCTTCTTTTTAGCGTCACCGGCTGTAAACTCCAGTGGAAAGTTCTGGTTGTTTGCCAACTTCTGGACTCCGGTCTTGTTCCAGAACTTTAGTTTTGTGTGCACATCAGTTCTTCAGATCTGGCTCATTTGTGTACACATTGTTATTTCCTCGTCTCTCAGCCAGATGCACTTAAACTTCAAAGGAAACACTCCTAATTAGACACTTTTTATGACATACATGTTGGGAGCTAGAATATGTGATTCCTAACACTTTACACGCTGATGTATTTACTATGCAGTTGTTCCCAATAAGCTAAATTATGTAGACCCCTCTGTCTTTTGTTTTGTTTCCCTTGAAGATCTGCCAAGAACTCCCTACTCTTTAACAGTCATACTGTGTTGAGTTGAGTTGATTCAGCAACCGACATCACAGCACTAGGAACATTGCCATAAGCAGTCTGTCATCATCTTCAGCAGGCAGTGCAGAGTTCCAATACCAGTGGTGCCAGTAGCAGTCTGATTGTATCTTCCCTCTGAGTGTCATGTATTAGCCAGATCCCCTTCTCACTCTTCGCTGAATCACTCTCTGAATCACTATGATGAGCCATTTGCTCCTTCAAATTGTACAAACGCTCCCATAGTTTCTTGACCACATCTGCTTTATTTGCATCAGTATTCCACGAAGTTGTGCAGAGCCAGCCAGTCTGTCCACCTGCTCATTTCCAAACACATCGGCATCACACAGTGAAAAACTCATTAATATCAGAATGATAAAAGTGAGTGCATTCTCAAGTTCAGGGCTTTTTGTAAATGATATCACAGACCTCTTAAATTTGTCCTGCAGACCCCCGAGGTCAACAGTTGACCAAAAGGAAATTACTGTGCAATGGGACTACCTTTATCTCCATTTTTTTCAACAGTTGACCTGTGCCAGATTAAAGAAGTTGTAGCAGATTCACGTGGAAGACTTGCCAGAAGCAGTGAGGATGTTCTCAAGGAGAAAACGGAGCCCTTTATTACACTGTTCTATGGTGCCACATTTATGCTGCAGTTTGTAACTTTCATAGGTTAGTTTTAGGTTAAGTATTGCATGTAAAGGTTGTCACATCTAAAGATTATTTCCTAGCTGCTACAAATTTCTGACCTTTTTCTGTACAAAAGTTCTCTGTGCTGTTTTTGTTTTTAAACAGGTCTTCAGTTCTTTCTTTCTTTCCTTTCTTAGCTTTTTTTTTTTAGACCTATATTTTATAGGTTGGCACTTGGTGTGTGATAAGGTAGCATCATGTCAGCTGCCTTTAATTCCCAGGACTGCACCTGGTACCCACTTGAGACTGGGTCGACCTGGGAGCCAAGGTCATTTTCCTTGCTTTCTTTCTTTTCGTCGTCCTCCTCACTGATCTCTGATTTTGTTTTAACAAATAGCATTCTCAGTCTGTCCTTTTATTCTTTTTTTTTTTTTTCTTCTTTCATTTTTCTTCCTTCTTTCTTTTTCTTTTTCTTCTTTCTCTCTGGTTCTTTCCCTCCTCCTCCTCCTCTTTTTGTTTCTCTGTTTTCTATCTTCTTCCGGAGCATCAAATACTTATGTCTTAAGACCTTCTGCTGTAAAAAAAAAAAAATAGGTGAGAGTCATACACTAGGCTACTCATTCAAAGTAGTAGTAAACATCTGACAGGGAAATTAAGATCAGTTGACTACAGTCACATTATTCAGTTGACTGATAATAACAAAGAGACAACTAAGAAGTGTGGTTTAATAAGGTTTGAACAACGGATCAACATCATGGCACATGGGTAATAACCTATAAGTGCTCCGTTCTTCTTGTTCAAATCGAAAAGAGTAGTCTAACGGTGCTGCCCAGGAAAAATTTTGAGTTAAAAATCTACCTAAAGTATTTCAGGATCCTCACCGGTGCTACAGAACCTGTGCACTGTGCTGAGCTTTTTCGGACTTAGACTTGAGTTAGAAGAAGAACGGAGCACTTATAGGAGGAGTTAGGTTTAGTTTGCCAAGGGATTTTTTACGTGCACAACAATGCACACAGGCCTCCGATCTCTTGCCAGAGAGACCAAGAGGAATTACTAGAAGTCCAAGTTCACGTGAATTACTAGAAGTCCAAGTTCACGTGAAAAAATCCCAGCCCTTACCAGGAATTGAACCCGTAACCTCTAGCACTTAAGGCGGACACCATGCCTTGAGACCACGCAGCTTCCCTAACAGGTTTTTTAAAAAAAACACTTAAAAATTGAAGGGAACTCTGTCAGTACATTGTTTCTATGATACTACTCTCGTAGTTTTATTTGTTACTTTTTTTTTTTTTAAATCTAGTAATGCTGTACAAGTCAAGATTAATTTTCTTTAGTCACATAGTTCAGCTAATTGATAAGAACACAGACAGGCAAAGAAGAGATTTCATGAAACAACACTTAGAATTCAGAACTCTGTCAGTTCAATGTTTCTCAACTAGCAAGACAGCAGACTTAACCTAACTCCCGTCTACGGTGCTTTACACATAATAAATAGGACACAAGAAGAAGAATGTTTCTTCTAATACTATTTCTGGCTTGTCAAAAATGCATTTTCTGAAACAGGATCTACACTGATAAAAAGAATTTTCCCTGATAAACAGTGCTAGAAATCTCAAACTGGAACTAAGTAGTGTAACACATTGCCTTTCATGCACCAGTTGCTGTAAATCCCAGTTTAAAAAAAACAGTTTGATGCATCACAAACTATGACAAGGAAGCTTAATGAAGAGAATAAAAGCTCAAATGGAGATTCCTAATCATAATGTATGTTGTGCTAAGTTACCTAATATCAGCTTGACTGCAGTGACCCTTATTTTGGACAGGAAATAAGTGTCTGTAAAACATAGAAATGCCTGAGTGTTACCATGGCCTGTGAGGCGTAGAAACCAGAACATGACAGCTCATACTCCTTGAGCCACATAATTGAATTTTTTGTTTCTCTATTTAGGAGACCTCAGCCCCCACCCCTTTAAATTTGTAAGGGTAGATGTTGTTTATGGTGAGAAGGATGTAAAAGAAGATAAGTGGCAAAAGTTATGTGCATAATTATAAAGTCTTTGGCAAAGTCCTATTGAGAAACACTTGCTTAAATTGCATATATTAGTGTTAGTTGTATTAAATCTTCCCGTCTCACTTGGGTTTTGAAATTTGCAGCCAAAGAGAAAGACTACAAATGCATTTTACAAGCTCTGGAAACTTGTATTGAAAAACTAGGATTTGATAATCCCTACACTATAAAACAAAGGCAAGAAATGCATGTTGAGTTGTTTTTCTATTTAACTTCTCATTAGTTTTCAACTTAGTGTGTTTATTGGTAATATTTTGGGTAATACATACATGGTTCAGCCGCAGCTGTGTACTTTCTAGACGCTCGCTTGCTGACCCAAAGGTAAAAAAGTAAAGGTAAAGTCGGGAGAGGTGAACAAGTGTCATTGCACATGGTCAAACACCATAAGTGCTCTGCCACCAGTACGAACAGCTGATAACAAAGGTCTTGGATTCAAATCTGCTTTAGGCCAAAATTTTTTCAAAATTTACTCTGGCTTCCAGATCGATCCAGCCGATAGGTAGGAGGCAATGTCTTGGGAAATGAAGGCTTACACTCCATTGGTTTGGTACCAAACAGCCCACTGGGCACCATCTCCACATCTAAAATTCACCTATCACCTTACTGGCACTATAACCTTAACCCACTGATTACAAAGCCCATTAACCCTTGCATGTTCCAGAATATCACATATTTTAGTGTGACCTAAGAATTCCATAGCTTCACCACTGTTTAACATTAACTCATATTTAGTATTTTTGCACCAAATTGATCAGAGAAGGCATTTCAAGAACAAAAACTGTGTAATCTTGTCCATCATCAACGTGGGGCTGTAAATTGGTGCAACAAAAAAAAAAGGCAACCAGCTAATCTTTTTATTTTGGTTTTTTTCTGACAGCAATATAGACTAACAAAAATCCTATAGCTTCACAACTGTTTAACATAAACTCATAACATTCTGCATGTTTGCATCCATTTGAATGGATAGCAGATTTCAAGAATAACAGGTTGTGTACCTTGTAGTACATCGTGTGGCTGGCCATGGTGCAAAAAAAAGGCAACTAAAAATTCTTCTATGTGACACAATATAACGTGTGTGTGCGTGTGTGAGTACCCACACGCATGCCTGCATGCATGCTGGAATAATCCTGGATGAGAGCTCTGCCTAAGTGCAAAATAAAATTCTTCACATTCAGTGGTTGTTTGCCATTTTTACTGAGTACTTCTGTCAAATTCAGAAAGCCACAAAAACTGACTTTTCCAAAAACCTGCATTGTGTAAACATCGAGGATTGCATTGTAAAATGATTTTCACAAAACTCTAAGCCATAGAGCCATAATTTAACAGATGCAGCTAACAGTACACACCTGAAGCACATACATGAAATTGTTTACACAAACTATTGTAACATAGCACACTTAACTCTGACTGCCACGCCATGGTGTAAGCCAGATGTCATCTTTCAGTTTTGATGATGTTTTTGATGGCAGTTGGTAAGAATTATCAAAGTCCAAAGTTACCATCACAGGGGTGCGATCATACTAGCCGGGCGTAACTATCAGCTGATCTCATATCGTGTGATTATGGTGGTCAGTACGTTAACTTATACAATGATGGTTTTTTTTTTTAAAAGACTTCAGTAAATAGAGGATATTAGAACATTCCAAGTACCAGTTTTGCTCTGTTCTGTGAGTAAACATACAATTTTAAAGATAAATTGATCTTTCTTACCTTTTCCAGATGGTTGAGGAGAGAGTTCAGCAAGATCCAGTTGATGAACTGTGGGTTTGTAACTCATCAGAAGGATTATAAGTAAGTATTAGCCCATATGGAAACTTCTTGTGAATGTCTATTTGGTTTTGTTTCTCAAACTGTTTCCAGCAGATGTGCTGCTTTGTCTGTTAACAGTGGTTGCCATTGGCACCAATTTGATGATCATTATGAAAATAGACCTGTATGATAGGAGAAGTAAAGAATTATAATAATGCAACCTTCCAGGCTTATCATAAAATACTTCTTTCTTTTTCATCTTCTGCCTTGTATCCTTCAATAGAATATAGTCCTTCAACTAACTCACCACAAGTTGTCCTGTCCTTTTTCTCCCCCATTTTCTCTCTAGTTCCTTTCTCTTTGTTTTGCTGTTGTTTGTTTTTGGGCTGTCTTTTATTTTTTTGATCCAGTAGGTTCAAGTGCAAAGTCATTCTGGTTATTTTCATGTTTCCTCATTGTGGCTGGCCGAACAGTTAGAACACTGGGCTCTCAAGCGGAAGACCTGGGTTTGAATCCTTGGTAAGGCTGGGGATTTTTTCAAAATAAAATCCTCACCTGCACAGTTGTGGCGACAGCCGTAAATCCTCAGGCTCAAAGACCCCCCTGCCTACACCGCAAAAGTAGTATAATAAAGATAGTAATTGGCAGTTTCCTCACAAATGTCCTGTCCAAAACTAATGTCTTTTTTTTTTCAGCTCTTGATCCATATTTAGTTCCCAAAGCTTCACATTTCTGATTCTGTCATACTGTTTAATTCCTTCTGTTCTGCACAGGCACCAGTTAATGAATGTTTTAAAGTGAATAATAAAAATAATAGTAATATGTGTTGCTCTCATGTTTCAGCTCCACACAGCAGTACTGACTTACTAAAATAGGACTAAATATTTTAAGTTTGGAACTAGTTTTAATTTCCTCTGACTTCCACATATTTCCTTGTACTATAAAACTCCTGTATTTTTTATTCATATTTTAATATCACTATTGGTTCCCTCATCTGTATCAACATTACTGTCTAAATGTATGACTCCACATATTGGAGTGGGATATGAACACGAGAAACTGAATTGTTGTTTGTCTGGTTTATTCTCACTATCCTTGTTTTTTCCCATGGATTTTTAGACTTATTTGTTGTGATCTCTCACCACTTTTGTTTAATTACCTTCCATATGATTCATGACTGTGATAGAAGGAAAATGTCAGACCAGATCATCATGCTGTTCTATTTTGGTCCATTGAATCTTATTCTGATAGTGACTGTAGTTGCTTTCATAATCCAGTCTTTAGCCAGTAAAAATAATAGACGTCAGATGACTAAGTATAATGAATTCAAGTAGTCTTTTGTTAAATCCTTGGGTTTTTGTTGTTGTTGTTGCTGAAACAACATCATAGATGGTAGAGAGTCAGTAAGCAATAGGTCTGCATAAGATTATGGTTCCATACAGTTAGTAAAAGTTTCACTGAAATATTATATCATTGTTGTTTACGATGGATTGATTCAGTAGGCCAGGATTCTGGTATACTTCATTAGGCTGTATTTTGAACTGATGTGCATGAGCTCATTCTGTATCTTCCTAACAGGGTCTCACTGAAGAAGATACAGACTTGGTTTAGTCAGATGACAGAAAATATCACTCGAGCTTACCTAACATTGAATAGTGTGGTAAGTGCATATATAAGCATAGTATAAAAAACTGCTGGCAAAAATGGCCAATAGCCAGCTGACCGCTGAGATTTTGAAAAGTTATTTGTTTCCAGCTAGGTTTGCTGATGTTAATTCCCCATTTCTAGAACGGTAATTCAACAGTTCTGTTGCTATTGGGGTGAGTGCCTGATGCAACACTGTGAGTTGTGGAGTTGTTTTTTTTCCTTTTTCGTCCGTGCCATTTTGCTGACTGCACACAAATGATGAGTGGTCAGTTACATTCAGAATCATATGTAATTTTATGGGTGTAATGCCAGCTTTCATCACTGATTGTTTGCACCAATAGTGAGCTGAAATTATGGTGGGGGACTGTTAGTTTTGGTACATCTAACAGCTTCCTTACGCATTTTTACTATGTGTTTGCAAGCAATTTTTGTTTTTTTGTTTTTTTTTAAACTGGTTCCCAAAATGGAACATTGAGGGACTTTTGTGTTATTTCCACTGGCACAGAAATGGAGCGATGTTGGAGTTATTTTGTATTAACTATTATTATCTGGGTAATAAACTTACAACCATTTGTTTGTTTTTTTCACGAGGAAACACTGTTTTGTTTTTGTTAATGTTCAGACACCTCAGAAACTCACACACATAACATCAACATTTGTGAGATGAGCTGCTTCAGGAAATTAATTAATTCAGCCGTCTAAGACTGAGTGAGAAATGATACTGTCAGACAGATTGTGGGAGCAACACCCATCTACCTTACACCCTCAGCTGGTTTCTAGACTTGGAGAAGGACAAGAAAGCTCTGTAGCGCACGGCTCATGAAGAGGTGGTATAAGTGTATAAGTTAGACCGATTCCAGAGAAAGACAAAAATAATTTGGCCTCAGCTCAGGGTTAAACCTAGACTTCTATTTCGGCAGCAGCACACTAACCACTATGCCTTAGTAGTGTTTCCCCTTAAAATATGACTGGGTCTTATATAAATGTGTCAGCATCTGTGGCTTAGACATAGCAAATGAGCTTCATAATGCCTGGGTGCCAGGTTTGATCCCAGCTTTTTGTCTCGTGTTGCTTTTGACAGTGGAACCGAGAGCTGACCGTTTAGTAAGCAGTGGCAGACTACTGAACATAAAATTTGCCTATAAAAACCAGAACAGCCAAAAATGCTGGGGTTGGTTCTGTAACATCCTGTAAAGGATAAGCAACTAACTTTTTTTTATATTAATGTGTGCTTAACAAATGCATGAGGGCTTAATTTGGGAGCATGAAATTTTGTTGAACAAATTTTTTTTTTAAATCTAGTTTTTTATCTTTTTTTTTTCCTTTGTCCATATTCTGCTTAGTACTGCTACGCGTTGCAGGTTAACAGATGATCTGTATCCAAGTCATGACACACTTGGTCGCCCATTATGCTTTGATGTCATGGAGTCTGAAGGTATCAGTGACTCCTTCAATCCAACTTCTTGGTTGTCCCCTCATCATCATGCAGCAGGTCCTTTGCAGAATGTCGCTCTCATCATGATCTGCCTGAAAGAAACTTGATCTTTCGCCAGCTCTCCCACCTCATGTACTTTCATACTCAAGCAGTCACTTATATCCTGTGCTCATCTTCGTGTTGGTCGGCCCCTGCCCCTCCTTCCTGGTACCATGCCTTCTGCTATAATTTTTTCCAATCCGTTAGTTGTCCCCTACCTCGTGGTATTTCTATTTTCATGTTGAACTCTGTCATTTCTGTTGTTTTCTGTCTTTTTTTTTTTTTTTTTATGAATGTAAGTATAGTTGTTGTTCCATAGTTATTACAGTTTCTTCATTTCTCACATGTTCTCTTTTAGTTTTGCTCATGGCCTTTCTCAGACATCTCATTTCACAGGTTTTCCTTTATGTTCTTTAGTAAATATCAAGTCGGATAAGGTTGGTATGAAGATTGTATTTATAATTTGTCTTTTTGTCTCTACTGAGATAGCCGAGTGTTTCAAAATTGGGTCATTTAGTACGTGACATTGGCTTGTTGGATTCTTGTTTCAACCTCTCTGTCTATTCTGGCATCAGTTGTAAAGAATACATTTATTTGTGTACAAAATTCAATATTTATTCAAAAACAGTCATGTCCTCTTCTTTTGAAATATGGTCATAGCTCTTTTCTTGTTGCAGAAATCTTGCCTCTGTGTCAAAGTAAGGTATTATTCCCTTAAATCAGGTGTTAATTGAACTTAAGAGATAGGTGTGGTAACAGAAATTAGGAGACTTAAGAGCGATGGCATATGCAAAAGCAACTACGAGAAATTGCTGGTGCCAAAATTGTTCTTCTTCATTTCACCTGAATTATGAACCACATCCATTTATTATCAGATGCGCACCATTGGTGTATTTACCCCAACTGGCCATTTGGCAACAAGTCTCTCATTCTAGCAGAGGAACTTAACTAGGGCTTAATTTTGGGGTAGAGCTTATTGTTAAAAGCCTCCTGAAAATCACGCTAGGCCTTATTTTTGAGGTAGGTCTTAACAACCTAGTTGTTAAACTGATAAAATGTGTTTTAACTGTTACGTCTATCTGTACTATTACATAGTCATAGTGTTCTGTTGAGTTTAGTTGAAGTAAGAACTGACATCCCCTTACTTAGGACATTCCCATTAGTACTATGTCCCCATCTTCAGCAGCCAGAAAGAAGTTTCAATACTGATGTACCTGAAGCAGTTTGGATCAATGTCTGCCTTGCCTCTCCTCTGAATGTAGAGTGCCAGCCAGATTCCCTGGTCACTTCCGCTCTGCACGATTCTCTTAACACAATAAGTATCGCATCACACTCCTGCACCATTCACTTGCTCCCAAAGGGCCTGGGTCATATCTAGCTTGTGTTGCATCCATTCACCATCCAGTGGGACATTACCAGCTTATTTGTCTGCTTGATTGTTTCTCATATAGTGTTATGTTAATTTCTTCAGTGTTACTTTATAGTAACATATGCAAGAACATAATAAAATAAAACAGTCTGAAAAAGACTTCTTTTAGTATTTGGGTTTCCATTGATAGTAATCATGTGCTAATAGACTGCAGTGGGTGGGGCATATAGAGAGAATGCCAGATAATAGACAGACACAAACTGCAAGCACAAAAGAGTTTACCAGGAGTAGACCAAGAGGCAGACCAAAAAGATAGTTGAGAGATAATTTACAAGCAGACCTACAAATACTTCACGTATCACTAACTACCAAGAGAAAGCCAGTCACAGAGATTGGAGATGAATGAAAACTGAAGCAGTGAACCTAAAGGGCTCAGAATACTGAAGATGCTGAAGAAGAAAATTTGTAATAATAACTGCATGTTTCTTTTTAAGATTTTGAAATACTGTTAATAATATCTCAGTTGGTGTAAACAAACAAATATTTAAAATTATTCTAAATTTTAGTTTTGAACTTTCAGAAATTAAAACTCCCTGAGAAGCTGGATTTCAATCATTTTTACTGTTTAATTGATGAAATAATGAAACCTAATCCAATTGTAAGTATATTTGAACATGTTGGTTATTGTAAACTTTTGTTTTCAATGTGAGAGTATATGTGTGTATATTTTTGTAAAGGTAAAACTATTTTTGTATGCTTAAATTTGGTAATTTTCAACTATAATAAATAAACAGTTGAACATCTGTAATTTACATTTGTCTCTAGAAAATAATTTAGTTATAATACAGACATTAATACTGGGGCACTACAAAACAATTACAAAGTTATCTGTGGTAAATGTGGATGAACAAAGTAATCTGTGGTCTGATGTGGGTGAATCAAGTAATCTGTGGTCCGGTGTGGGTGAACGAAGTAATCTGTAGCCTGATGTGGGTGAACAAAGTAATATGTGGTCTGATGTGGGTGAATGAAGTAATCTGTGGTCCAATGTGGGTGAACGAAATAATCTACGGTCTGATGTGGATGGATGAAGTAATCTGTGGTCCAATGTGGGTGAATGAAGTAATCTGTGGTCCGATGTGGGTGAGCGAAGTAATCTGTGGTCTGATGTGGGTGAATGAAGTAATTTGTGGTTCAATGTGAATGAACGAAGTAATCTGTGGTCTGATGTGGGTGAACGAAGTAATCGGTGGCTAGATGTACGTGAGCGAAGAAATCTGTTGTTTGATGTGGGTGAACGAAGTAATCTGTGGTCCAGTGTGAATGAACGAAGTAATCTGTAGTCTGATGTGGGTGAGTGAAGTAATCTGTGGTCTGATGTGGGTGAACAAAGTAATCAGTGGTCGATGTGGGTGAACAAAGTAATCTGTGGTCTGATGTGGGTGAATCAAGTAATCTGTGGTCCTGTGTGGGTGAACGAAGTAATCTGTAGCCTGGTGTGGGTGAACAAAGTAATATGTGGTCCAATGTGGGTAAATGAAGTAATCTGTGGTCCGATGTGGGTGAACGAAGTAATCTGTTGTTTGATGTGGGTGAACGAAGTAATCTGTGGTCCAGTGTGAATGAACGAAGTAATCTGTAGTCTGATGTGGGTGAGTGAAGTAATCTGTGGTCTGATGTGGGTGAACAAAGTAATCAGTGGTCGATGTGGGTGAACAAAGTAATCTGTGGTCTGATGTGGGTGAACGAAGTAATCTGTGGTCCAGTGTGAATGAACGAAGTAATCTGTGGTCTGATGTGGGTGAATTAAGTAATCTGTGGTCTGATGTGAGTGAATGAAGTAATCTGTGGTCTGATATGGGTGAACGAAGTAATCAGTATTCTGATGTGGGTGAGTGAAGTAATCTGTGGTCTGATGTGGGTGAACAAAGTAATCTGTGGTCCGGTGTGGGTGAGTGAAGTAATCTATGGTCCGGTGTGGGTGAGTGAAGTAATATGTAACCCGATGTGGGTGAGTCTGATGTGATGGCCAGAATATCCCGAGCCCCAAATTTTTTATAGACAATCAGCGGTCAGTATCATTCCAGTCTCCATTGCTACTCAAGGTGTTTTCCTGGCACAAATTTTAGGTTGTGTTGATCTGGCCAGAGGTCAGCCTTAAATCAAACCATGTGAGCTGTGATGGCTGGGCTTCAAGTATATAATACAGTTGTACACGGCTTTTCTTGTATTCTTTGTTTGGAACATTTTCAAAGTGTATTAGACTGTCCATGTAAAAGCCTGGTCTGTTTATTCATAGTTGAATCAATTAATTTCAGTCATTGTTGGCTGTTTTTCCTCCCGGTCTATTTCCACACTGTTTCATTATTTCTAGCCTGTGTTCTGAACACTGTATGTGTACATATATCTTTTCTTCTTAGCGTTCACCAATTGTAAACTCCAGTGGAAAATTCTGGTTGTTTGTCCACTTCTGGACTCTGGTTCTGCCCCCCACCCCCACCACCCCAGAGACCAGACAGGGATTGTGCACATATCATATGCCATCTATTGCATAATTTGATGCGGCAGGCCATGTCACATGTGAAGGAGGGGTCAAGGGAAAATACGGATAAAGGGGAAATGATCGCAGAAAAGTTGAGAGCTGAGCATCTGATAGGAACCATGTTTAATACATGTGAAGGCAAAAATTTTTTGAAATCCTATACTCTAATTGTGGAAGAGATTTCTGAATGTAAGCAGATCTTGCTAATAACACTTGCCATCATCTTGGGTGGTGATTGTCAGCCTCCCTAACAGCACAGTAATAACAATGTTATCAGGAATTTGTACAAGTGCCAACCTTCTTCTGTTTTCAGTGAATAAACCAGGTCTTTCCTATAAATGTATAACCAGTTGCAGAGCTGTCCATTATTTCTTGTTCTTCTCATTCCAGTTGATTACAGTGAATTTCAGTGTACCTCTTTTCACTGTCTCAAAGAGTCAGCTAGAGAAATGGAAGAGCATACAGAATAAAGCTATGCAGCTGATCCTGGGATGTACAAGAGACACTGCGATTGTGTGCGTGCGATACATACTTGCATTGTCAACTATTGCAGATGGGCTAAAGGTGCTGCAGGCTAAGTCATATCTCAGAGTAGCCAGATTGGCTGGATCTGCACCACTGGGTGGTTAATTGATACATGACAAGGCAGATGTGATCAAGGCCCTTTGGGAACAAGCAACAGAATCAGTAGAGATAGATTAATATTATGGCCTGGAGAGAAGGAGGCATCTGGGTGTAACCACAGGGTCTGGCTGGCTCACTACACTCAGAGGAAAGGCAAGAGGGACATATAACCAGATTTTGACTGGTACCATCAGTATTGAGGCTCTGCGTTGGCTGCTGAAGATAAAGACGGAGCATGCATGCGAATGCCCCGAGTGTTGTGATGTCAATTCTTGACTCAACTCAACTCAACTCAGTGTGTATTTTAGCTAGAAGTATAAAAGAAAATTTTGAATGAATCAACATATATAAGATTTTTTTATAGGTAAGTTACCTCTGCTCTCTGATTTTTCAGACCGATCGTTTGATGAAAGAGTTTGGTCAGCCTCTGCCAGATGCAAAAAGGTATGTCTGTAATTATGGTTATGGCTTAGTACCATACTAGGTGATTTAAAAATCAAGTTTCCAGATAATTCCAGTTTGCTGCATAGCAACATTCGTGCCCCATAGGATCTGTGCACCAGATGATTCTACACTGTCGGTAGACTATAGATGCAACTATGCCTAACATGGAGACAACAACCCATAGGACATTAATCTCTGAAAAGAGCTTAAATTTAATCTGGAGGGAGGGAGGGGGAGCCGTACAAATAACCCTGACAGATATGAAAAGATTCAGAGAGAAATTCATGGCAGAATCACATGGCTGGAGAAAAATGTCAGAGAAATTGAAAGACAAAAAACACATACATTACAATATACTAATGAACAACAAATTAATGTGTCCACTAAAAAAATAATACCTTATCATTGAGTTGTCATGACATCCAAAGATCAGATCTTAGTTGCTTAATCAGAATATGTGAAAGACCTTTACTCATGAGAGGAACAGTTTGACAATTACAGTTAACCTTTTCGCCCTGGAACCCTTTGGAAAACAAGCCACAAACCCAGGAATTCCACAGAAAAAAGTTAAATAATTTTACAAAAATTAAATGACTACAGTTAAAAGGCGTAACAAAATAATTCATATTTCAACTCATACAGAGACCTGCTAATCCCAGTTATTATATGTTAAGTTAAAAGACAAATATAACATCACCATGGCTAGAAAGGCATTATTTTCACAGTAAGATGCTATTTGAAAAAAATAGTAAATATACAACGATTGTTTGAAGAAAGCTAATGAAAGTAGATCTCTAATATCTATATACTGTAAGAAAGAGACAGACACTGTGCTTTGGCATTATAATGAGAAGAGAGACATTGGAAAACATCATGACAACTGGAAAGATCAGTGGAAAAAGGGGTAGAGGCAGACCAAGAGAGTTGAAGCTGGATGGGCTGAAATGATGGCATGGAGAGATATCATCAAAACAGCTGTTCTAGGAACCATGGATCGTGATCTGTGAAGTCGCATAAGCGCCGACGCCAGTTGGCAGGGCACATGATAATGATGAAATATACACATGCCACGGTTCTAAACGCTGTGAAGACACAAACAGGACTAATGCCGTTAACTGGGCTTCTGTGGGACTCACCAGTGCAGCAATGCTAGCTCAGCAGCTTCTGAGGGACTAGCAGTGGACGGAAATGTCAGGTTTGCTGCATTTTGAGGCCAGTGAATAAGCTCTTTTTCACCCCAGAAACCTTTTGGAGAAAAAAGTATGATCCCAGAAATTCCCAGAACAATGTTTATAAAAAGAACCACAATTCACTATTCAGTTTTTCAAAAACTTTTATATAGATTTTAAAAAAAAAATCATGTAAACATGATGGGTAGTAATCAATAAACACAAACCCAGGGGAGAACTGCATGACCACGGTGTCTTGGGCCTAAGTTCATAAGGGACTCATACTATAACCTTGTGAACCTGATTACTAAAGGTTAAGAAAGGAATAAGACACCATCATGGCTAAATAAAGCCATTGTCACCCCTTTTTCCCCCCACAGTAGAAATTCTATTGTTATTAAATATAGTTCTTCTTTTCTTCTTCAGTCCCTATAAACACTGCGCAGATTAAAACAGAACCAATGCCATTAACTATGCTTCTCAGGAACTCACCAATATCAGAATGTCAGTTAAGTGGCTTCTCAGGGTTTAGTAGTTGGTGGAAATGCAGGGTTTGCTGGTGTCTCAGGCCCGAGCATTAAGGACAGTTTAGGCATGAAAATGTGTGAAGCTGATGAATAGGCAAAGGGTCAAATGGCTTTCTTGCAGGTCATGATGAGTATAACATTCTGCAAGCAACCAACTTCACAATTTCCCTCCAGGACCACAGTCTGTAGGATTTAACATCTTTTGGATTAGAAACAGGAGCAAACCCTAGAAAACCTTGTTTAACACTGTAGGGGCACCCCATGGTTATAAAATGACTAGCTGTTCAATGTGGGTGGATGTGTTCAATTGTCTGATGATGATTCTGCACAGAGTTGTCACGGAACCAATACTGAACTTTATAGGTAGACCACAAATCAAATGGTTTGGCCATGTAACAAGAGTGGCAACAGATAGGGGCACACCAGAGAGCATTGTTATTCGCATGCAACAGTAACAGAACCAGAGATAAACCATACAGAAGATAGCCCGCAGAAGTACCAGAGACACTAAAAGTACTGAATTGAACAAAAAGAGCCTATTCCAGAGATCTCTTCCTGTCCGGACACTGCAAGGCATTCCAGGAGTAGAGAAAAAGAAGAAGAAGATGATTAGGGATGTTTCTTTCAAAGTCGGAGTGCATCTGCCTGGGGCGAGGAACCAAAAATTTGCATAAAAATAAGCCAGATCTGTAAAACGGATCAGCACACCAAACTCAGGTTCTAGAACTAAAGTCCAGATTGGGGTAACTACCAGAACTTTCCGCCAGAGTTTACAGCCAAGAAGAAGATGATGATATTCACAGTCGGTTTACTGAAAACCATCTTCTTCTTCTTCTTCTTCACTTCCTCTTTTACGGCTGTGGGTGTCAAGAGAGATATAAGGTTCTGTTTCTAGCTCTTCTGGCTGCCTCGACCATAGGCACATCGTGCTGTTGTAGAGTTTCTCTGATGTTATCCTTCCATCTTGTTCTTGGTCTACCCCGTGCTCTACGTCCTTCTTCTCTTTCCATGTATGCTTTGTATGGTATGGTGTCACAAGGCATTCTCTCTAAGTGGGCAAACCATTTCACTTGCTGTCTTTGTATGTAATCCAGAATTGGTTCTGTGCCGACTTGTTCTCTTATGATCTCATTCCTGATCTTATCTCTTATGGTCACTCCTACAGCCCTTCTCAGACATCTCATTTCCATGGTTACTAATTTTCTTTTATGGTTTGTTGTGACTGATCATGTCTGGCACTGGTAGCACAGAGTTGGAATAAATATGCTTTGAATAAGATGTCTCTTTGTGCTGATTGGGATTGTCTCATGCTGTAAGAGGGGGGCTAGCTGTCCCAATACTTGGTTTGCTTTACTGCATCTAATGTTAATTTCTTTATCCAATTTCCCATCTTTGGTAAATGTAGTTCCCAGATATTTAAACTCAGATGCCTGTTTAATGCCTTTGTATTCTATTGCTATGTTTAGATCTGTCTTCTTTTTTCCTATTGACATTACTTCTGTCTTTTCAGTGTTGATTCTCATATTATTTGTTTTACATTCTTTATTCATGGATGTTAGATGTTGTTGCAATTTCATGGCTGCATCTGCTATCAAGGCCTGGTCATCTGCAAAGAGTAATTCATTGATCTTACTAAGATCTTCATTCATGGGCTTGGCATTCTTGCATATACTGTCGATGTAGGTGATAAACAGCAGTGGTGATAAGACACACCCCTGTCTTACTCCAGATGTCACTCTGAAAGGATGAGATGTTCCCTGATTTATTCTAACTACACTTCTACAATTCCTGTATAAACTTTTGCACACTTCGATGAGGTGTTCGCTAACTCCATATCTTGCCATTACTTTCCATAATAATTGTCTGTCGACTCTGTCAAATGCCTTCTCCTGGACTACGAATGCCACAAATAAGTTCTTATTGTATTCAATGTTCTTTTCTATTAACTGTTTTAGTGTGAATATTGCATCTGTGCGGCTTCTATTTTTCCTAAATCCCATCTGTTCTTCTGTCAGCTGTGGTTCTATCACTGGTCTCAGTCTTGTTTCTATTATCTTGGCATACATTTTGCCAACATGGCTTAAAAGAGAGATGCCTCGATATTGACCGCATTCTCGTTTGCTTCCTTTGTTCTTCCACCATTGTATAACTATTGCATGTTGCCAATCAATAGGGGCCGTTTGTTGTACCCATGCTGCATTGAATATTCTGTGAAGCCATCTGATGCTGCTTTCACCTGCTGCTTGAATTATTTCTGTTGGTAATCTATCAGCTCCTGGTGCTTTATATTTGAAGACTGTTTAATGACTTTTTCTATTTCATCCATTAGTATGTGTGGTTCTAACACTGTTGCTCTGTGCTCTTTAGTTGTTCTTTCCTGATGATCTCCTAGAGGATTAAAGAGCTCATTGAAGTATTTCCTCCATCTTTCTGCTATCTCGGGTGGATCTTTCAATGGCCTTCCTGTCTTATCATTAATTATTTCAGTGGGGTTGTAGCTCTCATCTCTTTTCCGCATATTTTTAACTACTTTGAAAAATTTTCTGCTGGCTGTTTTCTCATTTTCTGCTAGTGACTCACCGAAACGTTCCCAGGATGCTTGTTTTGCTTTCTTGACACTCCTGTTGGTTTCTCTCCTTTGCAGTCTATAGTTTATATAATCTTCTTCTTTCTTTGATTTTATCCACTGTTTATATGTCTTTTTTCTTTTTAATTGCTTCTTTTACTTCTTCGCACCACCAAGGTGAATATTTGTTATTTCCCCGTACTTAAAACAATACTGGGTTTAAATGTTCATGAAAATATTTATTGTTGTTGTTTTTAGCCTTAGAAAGTGAGGATAAAAAGTAAAAATGGTGTTTCGACTTCACGAACACTGATTTTTTTTTTTTTACCTTTAGATTACTGACACTCTCTGGCTTTGAGAACTTCTTGCACACAGAGCAGAATGTAAGTTACAACATGAACATATTATGATGCTCTCTGTCTCCTCTGTATGTCTATTCATATACAGACAACCTACAGAGAGAAAGAGAGAGAGAGAGAGAGAGAGAACATAAACATATATATTATCTTTTTTTTTTCTTTTTTCTTGTGTCTGTATTGTGAGGTGTCTGTGTGTGTAAACTTACAAATATTTTAAGTTCATTAGCTTGTGAGGTGTCTGTGTGTGTAAACTTACAAATATTTTAAGTTCATTAGCTTGTGAGGTGTCTGTGTGTGTAAACTAACAAATATTTTAAGTTCATTAGCAACAAGTGAAATGTTTTTTCTGTTATAGGTATACTTCTTTGTTAAATATTAGAAACAGAACATTGGACTGCTTTGGGCAGTCCAAACTTTTGATATTTCTTTGTTAAAACTGGCATATGTTTCTTTCTTTGTCATCTTTTCATTGAATGTGGGTTTGTCTTGTGGCACTCTTGGATTAGACATCAAAGCATCATTAATCATTCTGTGTGTGTTTTATGTGTGTAAAACTTGTGCATGGACATGTATGCATTCATGTGTGCGTGAGTGTGTATGAAATGTGTTGTTAATATTTTTTTGAAAATAGATGCATAATTGCTGCCTTATGTCTTCCAGGAAATGGACAAGTCTGCAGCTGTTATTGAGAAGATGCTTTCTTGTCTGCCAGTGGCCCTAAGAACTGAAAATCCCAGTTTTTATGCCAGAGCTGTAAGTTTCTTTAGGGTAAAACAGTGTAACATCAAGAAGGTCAGCTTCATTGCTCAGGATTTTTTTTACATATTACTGTTTCTGTCACTTCCCCCCCCCCCCCTCTCTCTCTCTCTCTCTCTCTGTCTCATCCACTCCCCCCACCCCCTTCAGATGGTTATATGTCTGCCCAGCTCCTCAGCTCCAGGACGATCAATAGAGATCTCAATAAAAAAATTGTGCACAGCCTGTGAAGTGAACCCATGACTTTCAGTGCATGAGGTAAAAGGCTTAACCACTTAGACGTGAAATCTCACAAGAGGAGAGTGTCTATTGATAATGGAAATATAATTGATCTGTTCTAATACGGCAAAGATAGTGTGGTTAAAAATGGCAAGGATAGTGTGCAAACTTATTTTAGATGTTTTTTTCTGCTGTATACACATATATAAAGAACCATAATACATGCTAAAAAAGGGTTTTGGCATGTATACATAATATGCTAATTATTTCACAATTGCAATATCTGGCAACAGATGTAATTGATCATTTTTGCCAAAACTCAAACAGTGGCATATGATGTTGAAAAAACATGAAAATAAGAACAGTAACATTCAGGGTTTTCCCTCCTAGAAAAAAAAAAAGTGATAGTACCTACCACAAAGTGTCTTTTACAGCCCTTGTACCAGCCCTGGGACCATCTGATATTGTTGTTAAACAGTGTGCTTTGAAGGTTTCAAAAGTAATTTAAATGACAAAATTGCAGTTTCAGTTACATGAAACATATTTCTCTAAACAAATAACAATGAAACTGACATCAGAAAAAAAAAGAAAAATAAATTTAACTCTTGATTATTAGGAACTGCCATGGTGTAGTGGCTAGATGCTTGTTTGCAGATCCGAAGGTCGTGGGTTTAGGTACCGAACAGAAAATAGATTTGAAAGACAAAATACTCAATTTTGCTTAAAAACAAAATAAAGAAAATAAGTGAAAGCAAAAGAGCTAAAGAGTGTAAAATATGGAAATGAACAGATAATATGAACATTTAGTCAGGTTATTTCCTGGCAGTAATAAAATAACTACTAATAAACTATAAACATTCATTAAACAGTGCCTGCACAGAATAGAGAGAATTAATGGTCTCACAGAATCACTAATACAGAGTTTGGGGAGAGAACTAAACACATTCCAGTAAATCAAGAGGTGAGGAAAATATGATGGCATCAGACAGGACACACATTGAAAACATAGTAACTTTGTAACTAAATGTCCTCACGCTGAAACACATAGGGTCAAAGGAATACAGGCAGAAGGGAAAAAAAACACTCAGAAGAGAATTCGAGAACGAGGTGAAAAAGATGGGAAGGACATGGAGTGTATTGTATTTGATATCAAAGAACAAGACAACTTGGCATGACCTGGTTGAGGGGTCTGTGCTCCATTCAGGGATTAAGGACAGAGGCAGAAGAAAACATGGCAGTCTTCAACCACTGATGAAGACTCAGACTATCACTGATTTGCCAATGCTAACTATTACTAAAGAATGTTGAAGAATTAAGAATCAACATTACAGCACTCGGGACGCTACCATAAGTGCTCAGTCCTCATCTTCAGCAGCAAGCAAAGAGTTCAAATTTTGATGGTACCAGTAACCGTCTGATTGTATATCCATCTCATCCTTCCCTGAGTGTCAGCGTCAGCCAGATCCTCTGGTAACTCCTCGCAGCACCATTCTCCTTAGACCGTAATGATCTAGCTGCACCTCCACGCTGCTCACTCGCTCCCAATAGGCCAAGTGGTGCAGAGCCAGCCAATATATCTGCCTGCTCATTTCCCAACACACCGGCATACCCTGGAGAAACTATCTTATTTATTATTTATCTTATATATTACTGAAGAAATAGAGCAGAATCATAGAGGCTTTCAGTTGCCACTTGCTCATAAAAGTACACAAAGAAAGTTTAAACAAAGAAAGCATTTTACATCCAGTAAAGAATACTTTCAAAGATAAATGATGTTCTCTTTTTTATTAATCGTAGGTGGGTTTTTCTTTTTCAGTTTGAAGATTATCTGTTCTCCTCTATCAACTCAATTTTGAACCCAGTTGAATTTACAGTACATCAAAACATGGATCTACCTCTATGTAACTACTGGATTGCTTCCTCTCATAATACGTGAGTAAACATTCATTGTACCTGTGTGTTACCTAGACCCTGAGGTGTAATACTGTATAGCCTGTCAAGTGTGTCATAAGATGTGACCAAGGAGGGTTGGTCTTGGGTTGGTTACCCCATTCCATTTAAAGTACCAGCCCCAAAAAGCCAGCAAACCACGAATAAACATTAAAAGGAAACAAGAGTACAACAGCCAGACAAGATGAGATGATGCTGCTCTGAAATAAGTTCTATGAAGTGATGAAGAGAAAGGTGAAAAGAGATGGAGGCTAAGTTAAATGTCTACTTTCTTTCAACAAGGAAAATCTCCAGAACTGAAATTAGAGGCAGAAATGAATGTTGTGGGGTCATGGAGTAAGCAGCAGGAGTTTTCTTTGTGTGAGTTATTTCACACATTGTGTTATTATAAACAGTGCATTGTTATAGCCATGCTGTATGTCCTTTTGTCTATTTACCATGTTCTCACCATAGATACTTTCAAAGCCACTACATAGACCTTCTCACAACTTTGCATTATTCCATGTCTAGGACAGTAAATCCACTTGGTGGTGAACTGATGTATGACAAGCTGGATGTTGTTAGGGCTCTTTGGGAGCCAGTGAACAGTGCCGAGGAAGAGACAGATCAATACGGTCTGAGGAGAATGGCACTGTGAGGAGTTAAAAGGGATCTGGCCAACGCTCGACACTCAGAGGAGGGGTGAGATGGATATACAATCAGACAGTTACTGGTACCATTGGAATTTTAACTCTTTGCTTGCTGCTGAAGATGGGGATGGAGCTCTTATAGGGGTGTCTCAAGTGCTGTGATGTCGATTCTTAATTCAACATTCAACATCCATTAAAGATTGTCCACATCTGAGGAAATTGTATGCTCACCAAAATTGACATGTAAATATTGGGGATTTCAGGTACAGATCATATTACCATCTTCATCATTTCTGTTTATATATCACACTGGGTTCACAGTCAATCCTCCCTTCTGTTCTGTCAGTTCTGTCATACTGGGTTCACAGTCAATCCTCCCTTCTGTTCTGTCAGTTCTGTCACACTAGGTTCACAGTCAATCCTCCCTTCTGTTCTGTCAGTTCTGTCACACTGGGTTCACAGTCAATCCTCCCTTCTGTTCTGTCGATTCTGTCACACTAGGTTCACAGTCAGTCCTCCCTTCTGTTCTGTCAGTTCTGTCCCACTGGGTTCACAGTCAATCCTCTCTTCTGTTCTGTCACTTCTGTCACTCTGGGTTCACAGTCAATTCCTTCCTTCTGATCTGTCAGTTCTGCCACACTGGGTTCACAGTCAATCCTCCCTTCTGTTCTGTCAGTTCTGTCACACTGGGTTCACAGTCAATCCTCCCTTCTGTTCTGTCAGTTCTGTCACACTGGGTTCACAGTCAATCCTCCCTTCTGTTCTGTCAATTCTGTCACACTGGGTTCACAGTCAATCCTCTCTTCTGTTATGTCAATTCTGTCACACTGGGTTCACAGTCAATCCTCCCTTCTGTTCTGTCACTTCTGTCACTCTGGGTTCACAGTCAATTCCTTCCTTCTGTTCTGTCACTTCTGTCACACTGGGTTGACAGTCAATCCTCCCTTCTGTTCTGTCAATTCTGTCACAATGGGTTCACAGTCAGTCCTCTCTTCTGTTCTGTCAGTTCTGTCACACTGGGTTCACAGTCAATCCTCCCTTCTGTTCTGTCACTTCTGTCACACTGGGTTCACAGTCAATTCCTCCCTTCTGTTCTGTCACTTCTGTCACACTGGGTTGACCGTCAATTCCTCCCTTCTGTTCTGTCAGTTCTGTCACACTGGGTTCACAGTCAATCCTCTCTTCTGTTCTGTCAATTCTGTCACACTGGGTTCCCAGTCAATTCCTCCCTTCTGTTCTGTCAATTCTGTCACACTGGGTTCACAGTCAATTCCTCCCCTCTGTTCTGTCAATTCTGTCACAATGGGTTCACAGTCAATTCCTCCCTTCTGTTCTGTCAATTCTGTCACACTGGGTTCACAGTCAATCCTCCCTTCTGTTCTGTCACTTCTGTCACACTGGGTTCACAGTCAATTCCTTCCTTCTGTTCTGTCAATTCTGTCACACTAAGTTCACAGTCAATCCTCTCTTCTGTTCTGTCAGTTCTGTCACACTGGGTCACAGTCAATCCTCCCTTCTGTTTTGTCAATTCTGTCACACTGGGTTCACAGTCAGTCCTCCCTTCAGCAAGGCAGTGAAGTGTGATGAGGGGATCTGGCCGATTCTCGGCGCTCAGAGGAAAGGCAAGACGGACAAATAATCAGACTACTACTGGCACCATTGGTATTGGAACTCTGCGCTGGCTGTTGAAGATGGGGACGGAGTGCTTATGTGAATGCCCTGAGTGCTGTTTTAACCGTTTTTTGATTCAACTCAAGTCAGCTCATACTCTCAGATACCGTATCTTCTAATTGAATTATTTGGTTGCATCTTGCAGGTATCTGACAGGTGACCAATGGAAGGGTGAATCACATGTGGAAACATATACTAGATGTCTGCAGATGGGTTGCCGCTGTGTTGAATGTTAGTTAACCATTTAGATAGTCTTAAAATTGTCACTAACATAGCTAGAATATTTATTTCATGTGGTGCTGTTCATACTGCCAGTCTTTATGTAGTTGGACAGTAAATTAGAAGTAAAGTATAACTCATCCAAATCTTTTTTTTTTTAATTTTTTGTTATACAGAGAAAATTACCTTTTCTACTAATAGCGGGATTTATCATTTTTACTTTCCCTTTCCCAGTCACTATATTGTTTAGACTGTCCTTACTACAGCAATTTTAGGGTGAGGCAGAATTTGAAAACAAAATCTTCAGGATGTGACAACATACCAGCAGAGTTGATTGATACATGCCGGGAGAGAGAAGCCAGTGTCAATATATATATATATCATGCTTTTTGTGTGAAAACTGGAACATTGCTGACTGGCCCAAAGCATGGAAAAGAATAATATACATTTCTCTGCCGAAGAAAAGAAATCTAAAATGATGTACCGACTATTGCAATGTAGCTCTGATCAGCCATGCCAGCAAAATTCTTCTGCAGGTTATCTTGAAGAGGATTGAAAAAGAAACTAGAATGTGAAGTAGAGGTAGCACAAGCAGGTTTCAGATATGGCAGAGGTACAAGGGATCATATTTTTTCAACATGAGAATCATCCTCGAGAAATGCAGAGTATAAGATAGATAGATCTCCATACACCCTTCAGAGATTACAGCAAGGCTTTTGACTGTGTTCGCCACCAAAAACCGCGGCATATACTGAGATGCATGAGATTCCTTAACACATTTGGTACATCTGATGGAGTTTCTTTAAAGAAATTTTCTTAGAATACTGTGGTCCAAGAAGAAGAAAAAATGGACATCCTGCATGACCTGAGCATTAAGGAGAACTGGCTCGTAAACAGCATCCTCTCCTGAAAGCCTTAGTTATGAGTTAGATTATCTTCACAGCACTCTGGGCACATCCATGGGTGCTCAGATTCCCCTCTCAACATATTCATCAGCGTCGTGTGATTAATAGTGCCAGTTCTATGTTGGTTAACAAGACTTTGTGTCCGGTGTACTTCTCATGCTTGGCTGTGCCGATCTTTACTCCCAAATCGCGTATTCTTAGCAGTGATGTGGACACGTTGCTTCCAAAATCCTCAGAACATCCTATATGTCTAAGGGCAATGACATTGTCTGTGTGATCCATGGGCCGGCTATCTTGAATTAATGCAGCACCTGCCAGTCTAACAGCTCTTTCATTACCAATAACACCTGCATTCCCCGGGACGAATATGCAGGTAACTGCACACACAGGAGAGTTTTGCAATGACTTATACCATTGTCTGCGTAACAAGCCTGCCTCAACCCGTGGGATCATGCTCAAAGAGTCACTCAGCACACACACGCAGGAATAGTCCATTGATTCTAGCCACATGAAAGCTTGTGTCACCGCCATCACCTCCATCGTCATGCTGCTGGTAGTCATAGAGAAGGCACTGCTGGCTTTTTGAACTGTTCTGCCTAAGTATCCTGGACATATCAAGCGCAATGGTGGTCTGGAGAGAGAACGGTGATGGAGGTTCCAGTTTCCAGGAAAAGAAGCAGAGGCTGACGTCAGTGAAGGTGGATACAGGAAATTAAAGATGCATTGACAGTGAAAAAAAATTGGCTAGAGAAAGAACGACATTCAGGTCTACCGTGAAGAGAGCAATGTTCTGTGAAGAACCTACTGACTGATGGTGGAAGGGGGAAGGTTACTTTAAGCTTTAGGATTTAGAAACATGACTAGGGTTGTCACCACAAACTTTGCAGGTTACAAATTTTGTTTTCGCTTTATTAAGTAATTTATTTTTATGTATTATTCCTAATTCTGTTAATGCAATGGAAACAGGTATTACCAATAGTGTGTTGCTGGTCATTGGTCAAGGTAAATATAAGACTTTAAAAAATAATCATCTCTCAACTCTTTCATTCCCCGAAGCTTAAAACAGCATACACCAAATTGAGAAATACTGATTTTGAAGAAGAAAAAAATTAGTATATTAGATTGAAAAGGGCTCAGTACTAAACAGTGGTTACTAATGACACTAGATTTCCTAATCAACTTTGTACAAAAGCTAGAGAACAGATTACACGGGCTTTAATAGTTAATCATATGAACAATTATGTGATGTAATTGGTTTTTTAAATTTTTAGTATAATTATAACAGTGGATGTTTTTGATTTTTTAAAGTTTGTAGTTTGTATGATTTGAAGAATTTTGATCTTTGATAAATTAGTTCTGTCCCTGTAAAAAGGAGACTAACTCATTCCCAACATACTCATGAGTCATACAAGCTGATTGCCTACCACACTGTGCAGAGTTTGTGACAGATAAACACACAGTTTGTAGATTGCCTACCACACTGTGCACAGTTTGTGACAGATAAACACACAGTTTGTAGATTGCCTACCATACTGTGCAGAGTTTTTGACAGATAGACACACAGTTTGTAGATTGCCTACCACACTGTGCAGAGTTTGTGACAGATAGACACACAGTTTGTAGATTGCCTACCACACTGTGCAGAGTTTGTGACAGATAAACACACAGTTTGTAGATTGCCTACTACACTGTGCAGAGTTTGTGACAGATAAACACACAGTTTGTAGATTGCCTACTACACTGTGCAGAGTTTGTGACAGATAAACACACAGTTTGTAGATTGCCTACTACACTGTGCAGAGTTTGTGACAGATAAACACACAGTTTGTAGATTGCCTACTACACTGTGCAGAGTTTGTGACAGATAAACACACAGTTTGTAGATTGCCTACTACACTGTGCAGAGTTTTTGACAGATAAATACAGTTTGTAGATTGCCTGCCACACTGTGCAGAGTTTGTGACAGATAAACACACAGTTCGTAGATTGCCTACCACACTGTGCAGAGTTTGTGACAGATAGACACACAGTTTGTAGATTGCCTACCACACTGTGGAGAGTTTGTGACAGATAGACACACAGTTTGTAGATTGCCTACCACACTACACTGTGCAGAGTTTGTGACAGATAAACACACAGTTTGTAGATTGCCTACCACACTACACTGTGCAGAGTTTGTGACAGATAAACACACAGTTTGTAGATTGCCTACCACACTACACTGTGCAGAGTTTGTGACAGATAAACACACAGTTTGTAGATTGCCTACCACACTGTGCAGAGTTTGTGACAGATAGACACACAGTTTGTAGATTGCCTACCACACTGTGCAGAGTTTGTGACAGATAGACACACAGTTTGTAGATTGCCTACCACACTGTGCAGAGTTTGTGACAGATAGACACACAGTTTGTAGATTGCCTACCACACTACACTGTGCATAGTTTTTGACAGATAAACACACAGTTTGTAGATTGCCTACCACACTATACTGTGCAGAGTTTGTGACAGATAGACACACAGTTTGTAGATTGCCTACCACACTACACTGTGCAGAGTTTGTGACAGATAAACACACAGTTTGTAGATTGCCTACCACACTGTGCAGAGTTTGTGACAGATAGACACACAGTTTGTAGATTGCCTACCACACTGTGTAGAGTTTGTGACAGATAGACACACAGTTTGTAGATTGCCTACCACACTGTGCAGAGTTTGTGACAGATAAACACACAGTTTGTAGATTGCCTACCACACTGTGTAGAGTTTGTGACCAATAGACACACAGTTTGCAGATTGCCTACCACACTGTGCAGAGTTTGTGACAGACAGACACACAGTTTGTTGATTGCCTACCACACTGTGCAGAGTTTGTGACAAACAGACACACAGTTTGTAGATTGCCTACCACACTGTGCAGAGTTTGTGACAGATAGACACACAGTTTGTAGATTGCCTACCACACTACACTGTGCAGAGTTTGTGACAGATAAACACACAGTTTGTAGATTGCCTACCACACTGTGCAGAGTTTGTGACAGACAAACACACAGTTTGTTGATTGCCTACCACACTGTGCAGAGTTTGTGACAGACAGACACACAGTTTGTAGATTGCCTACCACACTGTGCAGAGTTTGTGACAGATAGACACACAGTTTGTAGATTGCCTACCACACTACACTGTGCAGAGTTTGTGACAGATAGACACACAGTTTGTAGATTGCCTACCATATTGTGCAGAGTTTGTGACAGAGAGACACATAGTTTGTAGATTGCCTACCACACTGTGCAGAGTTTGTGACAGATAGACACACAGTTTGTAGATTGCCTACCACATTGTGCAGAGTTTGTGACAGAGAGACACACAGTTTGTAGATTGCCTACCACACTATGCAGAGTTTGTGACAGAGAGACACACAGTTTGTAGATTGCCTACCACACTGTGCAGAGTTTGTGACAGACAGACACACAGTTTGTAGATTGCCTACCACACTATGCAGAGTTTATGACAGACAGACACACAGTTTGTAGATTGCCTACCACACTACACTGTGCAGAGTTTATGACAGATAGACACACAGTTTGTAGATTGCCTACCACACTATGCAGAGTTTGTGACAGAGAGACACACAGTTTGTAGATTGCCTACCACACTGTGCAGAGTTTGTGACAGAGAGACACACAGTTTGTAGATTGCCTACCACACTATGCAGAGTTTATGACAGACAGACACACAGTTTGTAGATTGCCTACCACACTATGCAGAGTTTGTGACAGAGAGACACACAGTTTGTAGATTGCCTACCACACTATGCAGAGTTTGTGACAGAGAGACACACAGTTTGTAGATTGCCTACCACACTATGCAGAGTTTATGACAGGTAAACACACAGTTTGTAGATTGCCTACCACACTATGCAGAGTTTATGACAGGTAAACACACAGTTTGTAGATTGCCTACCACACTATGCAGAGTTTATGACAGGTAAACACACAGTTTTGTAGATTGCCTACCACACTATGCAGAGTTTATGACAGGTAAACACACAGTTTGTAGATTGCCTACCACACTATGCAGAGTTTATGACAGGTAAACACACAGTTTGTAGATTGCCTACCACACTATGCAGAGTTTGTGACAGATAAACACACAGTTTGTAGATTGCCTACCACACTATGCAGAGTTTATGACAGGTAAACACACAGTTTGTAGATTGCCTACCACACTATGCAGAGTTTATGACAGGTAAACACACAGTTTGTAGATTGCCTACCACACTATGCAGAGTTTATGACAGGTAAACACACAGTTTGTAGATTGCCTACCACACTATGCAGAGTTTGTGACAGACAGACACATAGTTTGTAGATTGCCTACCACACTATGCAGAGTTTGTGACAGGTAAACACACAGTTTGTAGATTGCCTACCACACTATGCAGAGTTTGTGACAGAGAGACACACAGTTTGTAGATTGCCTACCACACTATGCAGAGTTTGTGACAGAGAGACACACAGTTTGTAGATTGCCTACCACACTATGCAGAGTTTATGACAGGTAAACACACAGTTTGTAGATTGCCTACCACACTATGCAGAGTTTATGACAGGTAAACACACAGTTTGTAGATTGCCTACCACACTATGCAGAGTTTATGACAGGTAAACACACAGTTTGTAGATTGCCTACCACACTATGCAGAGTTTTATGACAGGTAAACACACAGTTTGTAGATTGCCTACCACACTATGCAGAGTTTATGACAGGTAAACACACAGTTTGTAGATTGCCTACCACACTATGCAGAGTTTGTGACAGATAAACACACAGTTTGTAGATTGCCTACCACACTATGCAGAGTTTATGACAGGTAAACACACAGTTTGTAGATTGCCTACCACACTATGCAGAGTTTATGACAGGTAAACACACAGTTTGTAGATTGCCTACCACACTATGCAGAGTTTATGACAGGTAAACACACAGTTTGTAGATTGCCTACCACACTATGCAGAGTTTGTGACAGACAGACACATAGTTTGTAGATTGCCTACCACACTGTGCAGAGTTTGTGACAGACAGACACACAGTTTGTAATCTTTAACAGGCTTCATTTCTGAGGATACCAAAGTGAGAACACCTTTGATAGCCAGTATCTGCTCAGGAATTTTTGTATGATTTTAGCATAATATTTCTGTAAAGATACCATTGTAAATATTCAACAATTACTCTAGTGGACTGCTGGGATGGTCCAGATGGAAGACCAATGATTACACATGGGAAGTCCTTGACATCAAGGATTAAAGCATCAGATGTCTTACAGACAATAAAAGAACATGCATGGGATGTGTCAGAGTAAGTGTATTAATTTCTGTTTGTTTCCAGTAACGTTTTGATTATATTTGCATCCTATATTTCTTCTAACATGTGCTTCTGAAAAACATATTTAAAGGACGTATCACCAGTTTAGTGGCGAATAAATGTATCCCTAATGGACAAATCACCAGTTTATTGGCGTATGACAGAGACACTAATTTTGTTCCATTTGTGAGGAAACCAAACTTTTATGAACAAGTTTTTGAACAGTTAGGACTAACAACAGCAAGTCCTTGTGTTTGCCAAGTTCATTGTGGTCGGTGCATTATTTTCCGATTTTTTTTAAATTTATTTACATGGTTTACAATTTTTACATTATGTTTCTATACTAAATGATAAGGAAAAAGGTCTAGAACTGGTCATGCTGCTCTGTCGTTGGTGAATCTTTTCCAGATGGTGACAGGTCTTGATATTATGATTGATATCTAAGTGACAAACCTACTGGCGATAATTTAGTTTAGAATGTGAAAATTGAACCAAAATATTTCAATCGGATCAATGTTTCAAATAGCTGTTTTCCTGATTTTGGATTGTTGTGAAAAGTGACATTTCATACAAAAATGATCATAACATCCAAAATATTTAAATTAATTGTTTCAAATAAAGAATAGCTGATACATCATTGAACAGAGAAGTCGTGTATTGTTGAGCAAGTAAAAAAGGTAAAGTAAGCACACAATTTTTTGTCAGTAATCTTCATTTGTGTCTAACATCCTTGAATGTTGTGTGATTTTAATAATATTTTGTTGTAATACTGACATTTAAATAGTTAAGATTTATTCTGCACTCATTTATCTTTAATTTGATATATTATATGTTCCGATACAGCCAATACTTTTTTCGTCAAGAAGGTTTTAGCTTTGGGGTGTTGCAGTTTAAAAAAATTCCGATCAAAATTAATGCTGTCCAAACACCAGAAAAAATGTGGTCATGAAGGAGTTAAAACTTGCAGTTTTCAATACCTGATAACAGTTTCTGGCACTCACCAGTCCACTCTCAGCAGCATGATGAAATTATTTCTGCAGAATGTGTCTCCTGCTATATTTAAAATCTATTCAAAGCTCAAGTATCTGCTTTCACACCTCCTTCTTCCTTCATTTTCTTCCTCCTTCTTCTTCCTTCTTCTTCCTTCTTCTTCTTCTTCCTTCTTTTTCTTCCTCTTCCTTCTTCTTCTTCCTCTTCCTTCTTCCTCCTCTTCCTTCTTCTTCTTCCTCCTCTTCCTTCTTCTTCTTTCTTCTTCTTCCTCTTTCTTTTTCTTCCTTCTTCTTCTTTGTCTTCCTTCTTCTTCTTCTTCTTCTTCTTCTTCTTCTTCTTCTTCTTCTTCTTCTTCTTCTTCTTTCTCCTTCTTCATTCTTCTTTCTTCTTTTTCATTCTTCTTTCTTCTTCCTCCTTCTTCCTTCTTCTTCCTTTTTCTTCCTCCTTCTTCTTATTCTTCTTTTTATTTATGACTGTCTGTGTGTATGAGTGTTTATGCTTGTGAGTGTATGTTTGAGGGTGTCTAGGGTTTGCATGAGTGTGTGTGTGTGTATGTGTTTGTATGCATGATTGTAGAACCATTGAGGTTTAATGTAGCGGATATCACCCGCCTCCATTTATCTTTCCATTTGCCTGTATAATTTCTCTCTACTGCCTTCTTGGCCTGTCTTATGGTTTAGTCTAATTCAGTTCTTTTATGTATGCAGTTTTTGTCTCTCTGAAATCTACCACTGTCTCTGTGTGCCCCAGCCATTTCAGTCCATTAGCCCTTGTGATGCCAGTAATTAGTAGTGTTTTAAACAGATGATGAATTTCATTATTGCTTCTCACTCTTAACTCACCACTGTTTGCATCTTTTATAGGTCCAAAATTAGTCTTGAGACTTTGTTTTCAAAACAAGCTTCCTATAATGTATATTTCTTGTTAAATCCAGCTACCCTCTGGTCCTGTCCCTTGAAAATCACCTCAGCCTGCCTCAGCAGAGACTGTTTGCTAACATGCTGAAGGAGACATTCCAAGGTAGGTCGATATTTGTCTCTTGCGATTTTAAATCACACCATCCACATGTGATATAATGTTATATAAAGATTTACATTTTAAGTTTAGCATTTGAGATTTGTATTCTTGATGAATATTAGACACATATGCTCCTTTACAGAAGGGTATTTTGTGTCCAAGCTGTTAGAAACTGGAGCCTTAGTGAAAAGATACAGCCAGAATTAAACCCCTGTAAGCTACAGATTTCTGTTTTTTTTAGCGATACAACCAATACCTGTCAAAAGCATGTCACTCTTATGTTTCAGCTTTGGTTATGGTTCCACTAGAAACAAGCAGTGGTGTTGTTGTTTTTTTAAACCTGCCTAAATGCAGCTAGGGTAATTTTTCTGATAATAAAACCATAGGCGAAACTTTTGCACTTGTCTGAATTTGCTTGAGTCTCAAATGTAGGAAGGTACCTATTGTTACATGGCAAATATTGTCACTGGAGGCTACAATGTTACAAATTTTCACATAGGAGATCTAAGATAATACTAGTATAATCTTGATTAGCGTAATAATGAAATCTTATTCTTTCTCTGCCTTGTATTCTTCACTGTTGTGTAGGCCACAACCATTTTGTGCAATTAAATTGTGTGTTTCTTGTAGTTATTTCAGTATCATTCCCATATGTATGGCTCTAACCCTGCTCTCAATATTGTGGCTGGTCTCTTTATGTTTCTTTTACTTTATGAATTTAAAAGAGATTTATGTCTTGTTTTCACAGTGTGTATCCTATCCATTGCCATGTCTTTTCTTTACAACATGATTCACAGGAAATATACTTAGGTGGCAATTAATTGTACTTTTGTGATTCTATTATATCATTAAGTCCTTTGGTCTTCAAAGCCCTCCTAACTCATTCAGAACCGGAAGTTTTCACAGGAGATACTGAAGTGTGGAAATAAATGTATGCAAAATTAATGCTTTACTTTCAGAGTGGTAATATACATAGTTAAAGGTAAAGGTAAATATGCATAGTTGTAATGACCAATGAGGGGAACCAGATTTCTCTAAATATGTTCTGACCAGAAGGTTAAGTTAAGGGAGTGCATTGTGCTATAGAAAGGAATCAAGGGAAGGTGTAAATTCAGTCACACACTGGTCATTGCTTGGGACCGAAAGAGCTAATGAATTTTTTTATTTTAGCTATTGTTTTTATGATTCTTCATGTTCCTGATACATATAGCAGTTCCATAGAGCTGAATATTTTGAATTTAGCACTGGTTTTAAATTCTTCAAGTATTTTAAATTCTGTGAAAACTCATCATGCCTCTAAGAAGCATGAGTGTGGAGAATGAAATCAGATGTATCGGGCCCAAAGATGGCAGATGTCACAGCCTGGCTGTAAACCACAACACAGTGTGGTGCAACTGCCCTTAAAGGATTAATTTACATTGTGTGTGCACTGCGCTGAGATTCTTCTTCAGACTCAGGCTTGAGTTAGAAGTAGAACGGAGCACTTATAGGTTACACCTGTGTGCCGTGATGTTGATCCGTCGAATAAACATAAACATAAACAATAGTTATAAGACACCGTATATTTCTGTTTTGGTCACATACTGAGGAGAAGCAAACAGAGAATCACTGAACAAGCTCTTAGATGGGAAAGCATTGAACTGAGGAAATGAAGACGTCCAAAAGAAACCCTAATACGAACATTGATAAGATCGGTCAAAGTTGGTGAACTGGATTGAATCCATGATATTAAAACAATTGCACAGGATGAAATAAATTGGAAAAATAAACTGTGAGCCCAGTGTGATGTATAGCGGCACAACATGATGATGATATTGAAAGTAAATAAATGATGGACTAAATGATGTTGAGGTAATAACTACTTATTTTGGTGTGGGTTCTAGTGCATGTCATGAGTCAAATAATTGGACGCTTTCTTTGAAGTCGGAGTGCATCTGCCTGAGAGGCAAGGAACCAACAATCTGCATACACTTAAGTCAGATCTGTTAAACATGCAAATATGCATGCAAGACTCACGGTTCTGGAAACAGATTTAAGTCCAGAGGTAGACAAACAACCAGAACTTTCTGCCAGAGTTAACAGCCAGTGAATGCGAAGAAGAAGAAGAAGATAACTACTTAACATTAAACTTTATTTGGGTTTAAAATTAGTCAAAAATAAGTCATGACTGACGTTAAAATCACATACTTCTGACTGAAAATATCCAGAGGAGCTTCTTACTGAACAAGTTGACCCAGATGAAACATTTCTCCCATCCCCAAATCAGCTGAAAAGAAAGATCATTATTAAGGTATGTGGAATGTGTGTGTTACTTACAGCAACTAGGAACACCTGTCAACACAAATGAAAACACAAAGTACATATGAAAATCATTCTTACATACACATATTGTTAAATTTTCAAATACAATGTGGGAGGAAGCAAACAGTATACCTCTGGTAATGGTGGATAAAGAACATACCTGAGGTTTAAAAGTAAAGTATGTTATAATGAATAAATGGATATTAGTAAGCGCAAAAAAATCAAATAGGTAATTTAGAAAATGTAACATAGGCATTAAAACAAAAGTAATAGTCATATCTGATGTATCTTTAACAAGATTGAGTCTTCTTCTTCTTCTTTATGTCCTCTTTTACTGCTTGAGGTGTTGAGGGAGATATAAGATCATGTTTCATGCTCTTCTGGCTACTTCGACCATAGACACATTGTGGTGCTATAGGGTTTCTCTGATATTATCTTCCAATGTTGTTCTTGGTCTATCTCTAGCTGTACATCCCTCTCCTCTTGTGATATGTGCCTTGTAGGGCATAGCATCAGCAAACGTTCTCTTCGGGTGGGCAAGAATGTATTTTATGTCATGAAAAATTGAGTATTTGGCACTTGCCAATCCTAATACCCATTATTCCCATTTTTAGACTGGTTTAAATCTGCTTTGATGGGGATTCAAACACATTCTCACCAGACTGGTAAACAGGCATGATACCAACTGTGACTCACAAACCTACATTACTTTGCTTATAACAACACTACAGTATGTTTTATGTTTCTTTATTAAGTGAGGGACACACATCTTCCACATATCTGTGTATCTGCTTATGTTATTCAGTTTTCCCCAATACTGTCCCAGTTGACTGTGTATTCAACACTTCATTGCATTCAACACTTCATTGCATTCAACACTTCATTGCATTCAACACTTCAATGCATCCAACACTTCATTGCATTCAACACTTCAATGCATTCAACACTTCATTGCATTCAACACTTCATTGCATTCAACACTTCATTGCATTCAACACTTCATTGCATTCAACACTTCATTGCATTCAACACTTCATTGCATTCAACACTTCATTGCATTCAACACTTCATTGCATTCAACACTTCATTGCATTCAACACTTCATGTTAACTAATGATAAGAAAATGAGAGGCTTATTTTCAGTTTAAAAAAAAAATCTTATTAAATAGGCTGTTATTTTCTATAAAATAATTGTACCCTTTTGGGCTCCCTCTGGGTATTACTGAGTTAAGTGCATGGTGGGAGACTGTGAGCTGCAGATTTGATTTGAAATGCTTTTTAACTGTGCTCTAAATAGTTTGCATTATGAACTGCATTTCGAGTGTCAGACTGTTAGTGTTGGCACTTCTGACTGCCACCTTATGCATTTAATGTGTGCATATGATCTTGGATTTGCTGAGTGCGCAGTCTATGTTACTTTTTTGTTTTCCTTTCCTAACAAGGGACAGTGGTGGACAATCTGTGTGGTTTTCATTGGCACAGGAATAGAACAACAATAGGATGACATGTTTGCTATGAAATTGTAACTGCGGTTACCTGATTACTTGGCTATTCAGTTTGCATCTATTGAAAGTGAAATACCCACAGTCTGTGGGAGAAAACTTGACTAACCTAGGCTTAATTTCAGAGAGACTTTATTTTCTATGCTGGATTGAGACCATATTACATTCTTCTTCTGCCTTTTCCCTTGAAAGGATTGTTGGCATGTTGTGCTGTTGTTTACAACTAAGTTGTTGGGATGTTGTGCTGTTGTTTACAGCTAAGTTGCAATAAATGTGCCTTTCAGACCAACATATTTATTTCAGCACAGTACATCTAATTTCAGAAAATCCTCAAATTAGCCACCTCTTGTGTCTAATATGTCTCCACAAATGTGAGAGTTTCCAGTAGTTGGCTTGCTGGTTCAAAGCTTTAACACAAGGGGAAAAAAAGGCTCTAACTGACAATCACAATGAGCAAGTTAGTTGATACTGGCTCAGAGAAAAGTCTTTACAACATCAACCTCACTCGTATAGATGTAAGTCAATTTCCTGGCTAAGATGCTCTCAGTGCTAGTAATCCGGCTTAAGATTTAAAGCTCAGTGTCCTAGAAGAGTTAACAACCAACTCAGGAAACCTTGTGTGTTCAACTTGCTAAGAAGTTATTATTTAATTGTCTTTTTAATTGCAGTCTTGTGGTAACTTACTCATTTCATACATCTATCACAATTTTATTTTCCACGATCTCAAAATCAACATGAATGAAAAGAACAAGAAACTACAAAGAGACTGGAAATATTATGAGGCAAAACAATATGTGGATATTGGTAAGTGGCATTTAAAGTTTTTGAAAACACATTTACTTTATACAGTCGAGTCCACTTAAGTCGAACTCAGATAAGTCGAATTTCGGTTAAGTGGACATGACCAGCTTAGTCCTGGCAATTTTCTCTGTTGTGTGTACTGTCTGGATAAGTAGAAATCCTGATAAGTGGAAGCATTTTCTTAGGTCCCTGCGACTTCTACTTATCCAGACTCGACTGTATTTGTAAAGAAGCTGAATTTTCTTGTGGCTCTGTGGTGGAGCAATGGCCTGCATGCCAACTAAAGTGAAAGACCTTAATTTAATTCCTGTGATGGGTGGCTATATGTCTGTATATCAGAGCAGTGTGTGTTTTTTATATCTTCTTCTTCACATTCACCGGCTATAAACTGAAGCGAAAAGTTCTGTTTGTTAATTTACTTCTGAACTTTAGTCTTGTTCCAGAAGCTAAGTTTCATGTGCACATCCTCCTCGTGTGGGTCCTGGGACCCCATTGTGGGGGAAAACAAGAATAAGCCCACTGCCTCCCCCAACAAGCATGTCATAGGAGTTGACTAATTGGGAGCTCTTCCTTCGAAGTCGGAGTGCATCTGCCTGATTTTCAAGGAACAACCAGCTGCACACAAATAAGCCTGTAAAACGGATGTACACCCAAAACTTAGAGCCTGGCACAAACTCAAAGTCCATATGGATGAACAACTAGGACTTTCCACCAGAGCTTACAGCCAGTGAAAAAAGAAGAAGAAGAGCAAGATATGTGCACATCCATTTTACAGATTTGGGTTTTTTTTTGGTATGCAGATTGTTGGTTCCTCACCTTTCAAGCAGATGTGTTCCGACTTCAGAGGAAACATCTCTAATTAGTTCCAGTCTTACAACATGCTTGTTAGAGGGCAGTGAGTCTATACTTGTCTTGTTCCTCACAATGGGGCCAAAGAACCCCCACAGGCTGAATTGAAATCTTTAGAACAGATTGGAGGGACAACACCTTGTAATAGATTCACTGACAAACAGCACATCAAGTGGTTTGGCCGTCTCATTGGAATGCAGCAAGATAAAATACTATCACAAGCGCTACATCCAGATGCATTGGATTGAAAATTATTCCTCCTCACGACACTTAACGGCAGAAGTGGTTTATGATGATAAGAAATAAAACAAAAAGCAAAACATTTCTCTTCAACCCCCCCCCCCCCCCTCCCCCCCCCCCTTTTTTTTTTCTCTATTAATGGCTCCTTGAAAAACACATTTTGTTGCATAGTAAGTAAAGTAATAATAAATTACCCTTTCCAGGTGTATAGAGCATATAGTAATCTTTCTATGTTTGATAGGCCAGTTGATAAGTAATGTGTCAGTGCCACTTTTACTTCCCATAATATTTTCTGGCACTGATTGTAAGGTGTGAACAGTCTAGTAACTGTCAGTTTTAAAAGTCTGCCCCAGTATGGATTTAAATCTATGATTTTTTTTCTGGCAGGTGGCAAGCATGCAAGCCACTGGGCTGCACCTAGTATACACTATTTCACTGTCATCTGAGTATCATCAGTGTGATGTAATTTGCCATCATTTGTATACGTACAGTTTGATTTCAATTATAAAATGTCTGAGTGGTGTCTGTAGGTCACTTGAAACTGAAGTACATGTTGTCAGCTTGTTAACCTATACTGTCTTGTACCCACAGCTGACCTCTCAGGTGAGAAGAAGCAAGGAACCCTGCACATGAAGTATGCCACTGAGAAGGTGAAATCATCATGTCTTGTCTGTTTTCATACTGTATTAATTCACTGCATAACAAGCAATACACTATATGTTCAATTTTACTTAACAGTCTCATATATTAACATTTCGTGTGCTACTAAGCTGCAATAATCCCTGTATCGATTAGTAGTAATTAATATTACTATTAGGGGTAAAAACAGGATCATTAACTACAGTATAGGGTAGGAGTAGTTGGCTGCATGGAAAATGGTTAGTAATATAACATAAGAAGAACACGAAGGGCGCATGCACAGCAGAAGTCTACCAATCATCAGTAGGTGTTCTCCTTTCAACAATTGTTTTAGCATGTTTACCCTTGACCTTAATGATCTGTTTGTGCCTCTGCACTGTCCACTCGCTCCAAAAGGGATCTAACAACATCTAGCTTGTCATACATCAGTTCACCACCAAGTGGTGCAGAACCAGCCAGTCTATCTGCCTGCTCATTTCCCAACACACTGACATAATCTGGAGAAAGTATCCAATGGACGCTAATTACCCAGGACTTCTGAAGTGATGTTTGCCACTCTACACGGAGCTTTCCTGTCACCACCTTTCTCAACATGCTCTGTGAGTCAGTTAAAATACAACATGTGTGTACAGCTGATTCTGAAGCCAGTGGAAGGCAGCAGTGACTGCCTCCATTTCCATTCTCAAACTAGACTTTGTGATATGATATGCCAGGCTTTGCTGCACTAAGTGACATCCATTCGCTTTTGCTATGAACCCCCAATCACTTTATCTGCCTCTTAACACAGAGCCATCTGTATAGATAATCACATCACCTAAGCAGAATTGTTGTGAATCACTTGTTGAAGTTCTGATTCTGCAGCTCCAGCTAGCCAGTCCCTGCACTAATGACCTAAAGTGATTAGAACCCTACACAAATTTGATTCATGCTCAGACACTTTGACCCACCTCTTGACCCAAATGTATCAAACCTGCACACATGACTAATTGTGTCTTCAGCTTGTGCCATTCAAGATCTTCCTCTTTTCAACCTGTAACCCTGATGCCAACAACAAATAAAATATTAGGTGTTGCTGACCAGTCACTAAGCATGACATCCCCCGCAACATAGGACATGCCCTGTGACACAACGAGGCATGAATGGCAAGGGAAGACTTTCTTTCTGGACCAGAAAACGTTACTATGACCATAGTGAAAAATACATATCAGATCATACTATATATTGCAACTTTTCTGAATTTCTTTGTGCTGGAAAATCCAGAATGTTTAGTTTGCTCATAGACTGTTGAAATTGAAATGATACATTCACTATCAGATCTCTAGGTTGATTCACATATTTATTTTCACATCTTATGTTCACATTTTCAGACCTGGAAGGAGTACAGATTTATCCTGACTGATACATACTTTTGCTTTACTCCTTTCATCCCAGACACAGAGGAAGAAGAGGAAATCCCTGACAACAATTATGAAGATTTTTTTGAAGTATGTTATTTTGTTCAGTTTTCTCCTCACAGGGTGTTACTATTTTTTTAGCCTGCATGTACTCAAAGAAGAGAAAAAATACTGACACTTAAAAAGATTTGAACATCAAGAAAGAATGGCTTATAAACAGTATCCTTTCCTGGAAACTGAAATATTTGGGTCACATTTTGGAAACTCTGCTTCCGCCATTCTGTGTAATCTGTGCAATGAATGTGTGTGTCACTTCCCATCTTTTGCCATTCTGTGTAATCTGTGCAATGAATGTGTGTGTCACTTCCCATCTTCCGCCATTCTGTTTAATCTGTGCAATTAATGTGTGTGTCACTTCCCATCTTCTGCCATTCTGTGTAATCTGTGCAATGAATGTATGTGTCACTTCCCATCTTCCGCCATTCTGTGTAATCTGTGCAATGAATGTTTGTGTCACTTCCCATCTTTTGCCATTCTGTGTAATCTGTGCAATGAATGTGTGTGTCACTTCCCATCTTTTGCCATTCTGTGTAATCTGTGCAATTAATGTATGTGTCACTTCCCATCTTCTGCCATTCTGTGTAATCTGTGCAATGAATATGTGTGTCACTTCCCATCTTCCGCCATTCTGTGTAATCTGTGCAATGAATATATGTGTCACTTCCCATCTTCCGCCATTCTGTGTAATCTGTGCAATAAATGTTTGTGTCACTTCCCATCTTTTGCCATTCTGTGTAATCTGTGCAATGAATGTGTGTGTCACTTCCCATCTTCCGCCATTCTATGTAATCTGTGCAATGAATGTGTGTGTCACTTCCCATCTTCCGCTGTTCTGTGTAATCTGTGCAATGAATGTGTGTGTCACTTCCCATCTTTTGCCATTCTGTGTAAACTGTGCAATGAATGTGTGTGTCACTTCCCATCTTTTGCCATTCTGTGTAATCTGTGCAATGAATGTGTGTGTCACTTCCCATCTTCCGCCATTCTGTGTAATCTGTGCAATGAATGTGTGTGTCACTTCCCATCTTCCGCCATTCTGTGTAATCTGTGCAATGAATGTGTGTGTCACTTCCCATCTTCCGCCATTCTGTGTAATCTCTGCAATGAATGTGTGTGTCACTTCCCATCTTTTGCCATTCTGTGTAATCTGTGCAATGAATGTGTGTGTCACTTCCCATCTTCCGCCATTCTGTGTAATCTGTGCAATGAATGTGTGTGTCACTTCCCATCTTTTGCCATTCTGTGTAATCTGTGCAATGAATGTGTGTGTCACTTCCCATCTTCCGCTGTTCTGTGTAATCTGTGCAATGAAGGTGTGTGTCACTTCCAATCTTCCGCTGTTCTGTGTAATCTGTGCAATGAATGTGTGTGTCACTTCTAATCTTCCGCCATTCTGTGTAATCTGTTCAATGAATGTGTGTGTCACTTCCCATCTTCCGCCATTCCGTATAATCTGTGCAATGAATATGTGTGTCACTTCCCATCTTTCGCCATTCTGTATAATCTGTGCAATGAATGTGTGTGTCACTTCCCATCTTCCGCCATTCTGTGTAATCTGTGCAATGAATGTGTGTGTGTCACTTTCCATCTTCCACCATTCTGTGTAATCTGCAATGAATGTGTGTGTCACTTCCCATCTTCCGCCATTCTGTGTAATCTGTGCAATGAATGTGTGTGTCACTTCCCATCTCCCGCCAGTCTGTGTAATCTGTGCAATGAATGTGTGTGTCTGTCGTGGTCGTTCCAAAGTGGATAGATGCTTTTGTGATGAGTAGGAGTTTACCTCTCAACACTTCACCTCCACCAGAGAAACTAGACTATTATCCGAGCTATGTTGATCTCAGACAAAGTCCTGGATATCTAAGAAAACAGCCATATTTGGCTCGTCATGTAAATACACAACAGCTGCACTTAGTACCCACAGGAGTAGGAGAAGAGATAGATAGATATTAAGACTTTATAATGTTACCAAGTCTTCATAAAATGTATAGTAATTCATGCTTCTAAAACAGTTTTTTTTTACAGGGGCAAAACATTATCATAACAGAAAACGAACATAAGATTTTTTTTTTTAAATACATAAAGTTAAACTAAAATGAATATGACACATAAATACATTCTTCTTCTTTGTGTTCACCAGCAGTATACTCTGGCGGAAAGTTCTGGTTGTTCATCCACTTCTGGACTGCAGTTCTGTTCTAGAACCTGAGTGTTGCGTGTGCATCCATTTTACAGATCTGACTCATTTGTATGTAGACTGCTGGTTCCTTGCCTCTCAGGCAGATGCACTCTGAATTCGAAGGAAGCTCCCAGTTAGTCAACTCTTACGACATGCTTTTGGATAGGATGTGGGTCTATTCTTGTTTTCCTTATGATAGGGCCCCGGAACCCACACAAGGAATAAATATATTAATAAAGCGAGTAAAAAAAAAAGACATTAAAAGCTACTACAAAGAATAAAAATACATGAAAATTTTTTAAAATATGAATGTGATTTGTAAAGTGCAAATAGTTACTCTTGTTACTACGTCTGAGTTGACAGTACTCTTGTTACAGCCTTTCAGAGTAATCATTCAGGTTACAGTCTACAAGATTACTTTTGTTACAGCCATTTGTAACATTACTTTGTTACAGTTTCTCAGGGTACCTTTTGAGTAATGGTGTCCACAGTTTCTGTTAGCTTTATGAGGTTCAGAAAAATCACTGAACACGTCTTTTACTGTTTATCCCAACCCATAACGGGCTAGAGAATAGTAACTGCAGTCTACCATACATGTTATTAATGTCAACTAAGGAGGGCTGATATGAGACCACTAGCTCATCCAGTAGAAAATTTGCTGCAAAGTCTATCTAATTGTAACAGCACTACAAAGAGTTTGATGTATGAGTTGGTTCAGGACTTGTGCTCCATTGGGAGAGGGCAGACAGAAGAAAAAATACAATCCTTGACTTTAGGAGAGTTATTACCTCTCAAAGAGATGAAGGGATAGAATGAAAGAGACATGACAGAAATACAAAGAGACAGTAAAACAAGCTACAAAATTAGCAAGACAGGAAACTATATCCAACTTCTCTCTCCGACGCTACACTGTATAAGCTGTAGGACAAAAGGAGAATAAGATTATATCTCTTTGAAGTCAATACAGTCGACGATGAGGCAGGACAATAATGTCTGAGGTCTTTGTAGTTAAAGTCAAGTCATTTGCCACATTCTGTGAAGGTTGTGGGTTTGGTTTCAAACACATCCTTCAATTAAATTCAAATGTTTTGGAGGTCCCTGGATCTTCGGCATTTATGCTTTCTGCAGCACTCTTGTAAACTACTAGCTATTCTGCAGAGAGAGACTGAGGCACCTATGATAAAATGCAGTGCAATGATGTTGACCATCTCACCCTTAAACACCTTAATGTCTTCTGGTGGTGCATTTAGAATTGTGACAGCGATGAAGAAGATGATTCAGATGAGGTGCGACCTCTCAGTTCTCAGCTGTGGTACCATGGAGCACTTGATCGGGATGCTGCGAACACAATGTTATTTGAAGAACAGTGTCATGGAAACGGGACATTTTTAGTGCGGGACCGTGGCAGAGGAGGATTAGCATTATCCTTTTTGTGAGTATGTCATTGAATCACTGCAATAGTTTTATGTTGTGTTATGACTTCTTTTTAGTGTTCACCAGCTGTAAACTCTGGTGGAATATTTTGGTTGTTCATCCACTTCTGGACAAGTCTTGTTTTAGAACTTGAGTTTTGCATGCACATCTGTTTTACAGATCTGTCTTACTTGTATGCAGACTATTGGTTCCTTGCCAATGAGGCGAGACTGTTATGAGTTAAGAACCGATATCATAGCCCTCTGGGTATTGTCATAAGCACCTCATACACATCTTCAGCAGCTAGCGCGGAGTTTCAGCTCCAATGATCCCACAAGCCATGTGACTGATTGTATGTCTCACCCCTCTCCTGAGTGTTGAGCATCTGCCAGATCCCCTGGTCATTCCTCGCTGCATTAGTCTTTTCAGACTGATGATCTGTTTGTGTCTTCGCAATGTTTACTCTCTCAATGACAAAATTGTGTTATTGTTTTTCCTTCCTTTTGTAATTTTCTTCTTCTTTTCATCCAGCAGTAGTTGAAAAAAGCTGATTACCTCCCTCTCTTGTAAAGTTTTTTCCTTTAAGAACTGCCGTTTCCTTAATATAAGCCAGTACATAGTTTATGCCACTGGCAAAGGAGCAAAGGGCACTTAGCATTATGGTGACTTTGAGTATGTCATTGCCTTCGAATCAATGCCATAGTCCTAAAACTCTTAATCTTGCTTTCTTTTAGCAGTTTGTTGCCCTAGGCTGATTTTTATGACTGTCAATCTTAAACAGAGCTCTCCCAGTAAACTGCGATTCTAGTAGTGGAATGGTTGTGTTATTACATGTGATGACTACATTAATACTTGTGACGCTTCCTTTGTACTTGTGATGACTATGCCTTATACATTTTATACATTTATTGCATGTATATACTGTTGCTTTGCCAAGACTGCAGTTTGTTTCAATTTTTCAACAAGAGACAGTGATAGGCATTCTGTGCGGCTTTCACTGGCACAGATACGGAGCAGTTATGGGGTGGCATCTGCTATGATGTTGGAACTACCAATAACTGAACTGAGCTCTCCTGTGTACCCCTAAACAAAATAACTTGATGTCTTGACTGGACAACGGCTACATTTCATAACAATAGATCCCCAGTGGTCAGTACTTCAGCCACCAAAACAGCACACATACCTTCTTACTCAAGGCTAACATCAACTCTTTGTCCCTTCCTTTCAAACTTCCAGCTGCCCATTGGTTTTTTCCTGTCCCTACCTGATGGTGAATAATAGTGTCAGATCATCTCTGTTCATTAGCCCTATTATTTGATATAACCAGATTTGTACACCAGCAACAAAACAAAATATTACCTGAACGCTCAGTGGAAGGGAAAAGAAAGATGTGCAAAAATACTGTACAACTGATTTTTATGGCCAAAGTCTATATCTACAAATAAAACAACAACCCGTATGTGAGTTCCAAGGGGCCTCATTTAGTTGCAGCGTGAATAAAGTAAGACTAACTGCCCCCACCCCTAAAACCATTTTGTAAAAGTTGACAAATTAAGGGTACGCCGAAAGTAGATGTGCTGAGTCAAAAGGCGCATGTATCAAAACCATAATAGAATGTGCAAACTTACCTTTTTAAGGCAAACACAGAAAAAGGAGAAAAACAAGTCCTATCCCACAAAAAATGACTGAGGTATTGGGGTTGGGGCAAACAGCGACAAACATTCCACATGGTGAAGAAACATGCAAAGGGTAACCAGTTGAAAATGTGTTTACAAATGAACTCGCAGACACAGAGAGCCAAATCACCTTGAAAGATACCACGCTAAAAGGAAGTAAACTTTTTTTAATGCATACTGGCATCATGAGGGCTAACTGTAATGGTTGGGACATAAATGGCAGATAACCGACAAAAACTGCATACACACAAAAAAATGTTTGGTGGGAACAAATGAATGATCTTAATTTTTTTTAAAGGGTCACAAATTGGACACAGGTCTGTCTTACATTTGGCCTTTCCAAACACCCATCTTTCACACAGCAGTTGCATTTTATCGATAAAGCATGTTATGTTCATATAATAATATTTATATTATGAAAATCATGAAAATAAAACCGATTGGGTGGCAGACCCATGAAGACTGTGGAGAGAGAAATTAAAGATAGACTCACAAACACATGTGATCCCCAACCGGAAAGGCCAATCACAGCGACGTGTGGAGAAGGGTGATATATGCAAAAATGAACCTTAAGAGCTCAGAATGCTAAAGAAGAAGAAAAAGATGCTGAAGTCAGACCCATTGACCTCAGAGTTAGAGAGCTGCATACCTAGGTTCCTCAAAAAAGAAACAGTAAAAATGAAGAAGAGTCATGTAGATTAGGTTATAATATAATATAAAATAATAATAAAATGCTTTGTGCAGCGTGGCACGCTTTACTGCCAAGGACATGGGTGTGGAGTATTGTCTTGATTTTTTCACCAGGATATGCCAGTGTTTTGGGAAATGAACAGGCCGACAGACTGGCTGGCTCTGCACAACTTGGTGAAATACTGATGTATGATAAGGCAGACGTGGTTAGTGCCGTGTGGGAGAGCGTGTACAGTTCAGAGGAGCAGATGGATCACCACAGTCTGGTGAGATTGATGCAGCGGGGAGTAGCGAGGGATTCTGGCCGAGGCTCAAGGCTCAGAGGGAAATCAAGACGGATGTTTAATCAAAATGCTACTGCACCATTAGTATCGTAATTCTATACTAGCTGCTGAAGATGGGGCTGGAGCGCTTATGGGAATGCCTTGAGTGCTGTAATGTCGGTTCTTGAATCACCCTAACTCAACTCATTGCGAATAATCTTCTTGAGCTAGATTTTACTCTTAGGAGTGGCAGAAGCAAAGTTTCTGGATACTTGCCTTTAGATCTTAGGCCCGAGTATACCTTGAGGTAAATTGTGTTTTAAATAATTGACTTTGATTGCCAGGTCAAGCCATCTAAAACAAGTATAAGAAAATTATTGGGAAGTAAAGATCTCTGGCATGATATTGACCAGATCATTTATTGAGTGCCGATACTTCTAAAAAATATGGGTATAGCACCATATGCCCAATACACTAATGGTATGAAAAGGATCCTTTTCTTCACTCACATACATGGTTTTTAATTCCTAAGAAAAAAGGTGCCGGTACTCACCAAAAAAGGTGACGAAAAAAAGGTGGCAACATTTACAACAAAGTGTCTATTTGAGAAGCCTGAAAAAATTATGCCAGTCAAAAGGTGTTTAAACTGTGTACTGTATTGACAGAAAAAAAATACCCTACTTAAAAATAACCTGTTCTTGCAGCGCTGTACTTATGATATCATGTTTGTTTCTATCTTTGCCCTAAAGTGCTAATGGCAGGGTCACGCACAGCATTATTCAGCAGCGAGATGATGGGCAGGGCCACAAACGGTATCTGATTGGAAACGAGATCTGGCATAACAGCATTCCAGATGCCATAGACTACTATAGAATTCACAAGCTGACCTACAAGGAAAAGGGTGTCAGTGTCAACCTAACTTACCCTGTTAAAAGGAAACTGGGATTTGAGGATGAAGTGTGAGTCACTTGTAACTACTGTAGTTATTTCAAAATTAGGGTTAACTCCCGAATTTGAAAAGTGTATCATTCGATTTTATTGTGTACCTTTAAAAAAAAAAAAAAAATAACGAGTCAAAAGTGCAAGATTTATCAAAGTAACGTATTTAGCAAGGGAGCAGCAATAGCTAAATACTTGCCTGTCTGCCCAAAGGTGTTCAGTTCAAATGCCCACTGCAACAGATTTGTAATAACATTGACCTTGCTCCCAGGTAAACCCAGCCTTAAACTGGCACCAGGAAATGTCCTGGGAAGTGAAGGTGGCTAGCTTTAGGATTGCAGTCTGTTGGATTAACAACTCAAGGATGAGAATTAAATGGATACAAATCCCAGAAACCTCATTCATCCATATAGCCATACAGCCCACTTATATTAAGGCATCACACACAAAAGTAATTAAGTTCCTTGTTGTCCAATATATTTGAATATGAGATCTTTAAAAAAAATCCTAGATATATAATACAAAAAGCACATTACGAAGAATGAAGTTGGCTGTAACATCACTCAACACATTTACAACTATGAACCTCTTTTAACAACAGTGAAAAGACTGAAAATGCAATGGTTTGGACATGTAACAAGATCTCTGGCAGGAGACCCAGGCTAGAAACCTTTGTCAGGGTGTGGACTTATTTTTGTCACAGGCACACACAAAAATCCCAACATGCCAAGTCTATGGTTTGTATGGGAGCTGCGTAGGAGGAGCAAATAGATGCTCTCCTGCCAGCCAAAAGTTTTTGAGTCTTCATTAAGTCAGATTTTTTTCTTCAGAAATCACCTTGGCTTCCAGTTTGACCTAGCCTAAAATGGGTACGAGGTAAAGTCATGAGAAGTAAAAGTGGCTGGTGTGATGTTGACCATGTCATCTATTGATCTCTAAAAATATGAATTTAACATCACAAGCCCTGAATGCCACAGTTGTGAAATAGTCCTTATATTTACTTATAGTTTTTAATTCTTCAGTTGAAACCCAGAAACTGCTTTCTTCCTTCGGACTGAATTGCCAACACAGTTTTATTTAAACTCCTAGGGGATTGAATTGCCCTCACAGTTTTATCTCCAACCCCCCAGTTATGGCCCCTGGTAGTCCACAGGGGGTATTTATTCCCTTAGCAGACACATGTAGTCATTCTGCTGAGAAACAACCGACCCGGCTGCTTCAAGATACCAGCTAAGTGATTTTGTGTTTCTGTGTAGTATTGTTTCATTTGTATGTGCTGATGAATGCTCAATAACCACAACGTTCACATTTTGTTTGTATTTGTTATATTGTGGAGCTTGCTTATATACTTTTCGTTAAGGTTTATATCTTTCCTTGATTGCTGAAATCTGTAATAGTTGTTTACTGTTTGTGTGACTATCAACAGGTGGTACAGGTCAGACACTGACCGTCTGTCTGCAGAAGATTTCCTGAAATCCATACCTCTAGATGGAGTGTTTCTGGTGCGGCCTAGCTCAGTGGAGAACTTTTTTTCACTCTCACTGAGGTATGTTTAGCCTTATGCTGCTGCTGTTTCTGTGGTAAGAAACCGAATAATAACAAACTGAATAACAAAAAATATAGAAGGAACTGAAAGGTTGGGATGAATTAGTTTATATAACCACAAGCGTTCAGATTAACAAAGCCAGAGAAATTCAGAGGTCTGCATATGAAAACATATTTTAGGAGAGAATTTGAAGAACAACAGTCGCGAAATCTGTCAACTGAAAATGTGGACACAAGTGACTAAAAAAACACACACAATTATTAAAGAAGTCAGAAAACCAATGGATATATCATTTGTTTTGCTCATTAAGACAGCTGTGAGTTCAAAACTGATATCACAGCACTGTGGACATTCCCATAAGCACTCTGTCCTCATCTGCAGAAGCCAGCAAAGAGTTCCATTTCCAATGGTGCTAGTAGCAGTTTAATTAAATGCCGTCTTGCCTTTGCTTAGTATTGACCATCAGCCAGATCCGCTGGTTATGCCTGGTCGTACCATTCTCTCAAGACCACAGTGATCTATTTGTGCCTCTACATTATTCACTTGCTGTCAAAGGGGATTGAACACATCTAATTTGTCATCAATTCACAGCCCCCCCCCCCCTCCCACCAGCCGTGCAGAACCAGCCAGTATCTCTAACTATTCATTTCCTAATACACCTGCATACCCAGAAAAAATTATCTAAATTGGGAAATGAAAGGCAACTGGCATAATCACCAATAACAGGAACCATCTTCACACTGAAGTCAGCCATAATGAGACTCTCAACACTTGCGGTCCTGTGTTTTCCTGCTATTGATCCAGGAGTGTCTGGGCTCCGTTTTTTGGCCCAGTACCATGTAGTGATACCTGCAGATGTTTATCAGCTGCTGCTTTACTGCCTGTCTGGCATCATCATGGTGCAGTTATACCAGACTTTCTCCAGGCATTTCTGCCACACAACAGAAACTGCCAGTTACTGCTTGTATTGGTCACTTTTATGTTGTCAGCAGGGGATCTTTGAGCCTAAGAATTAAGGGTCGCATGGCTAGTGCTGCCACATGGACTGTGTATGTTAGAATTTTATTTTTTCATCACTGATTCAAAACCTTGGTCTCCTAAATGAGAGCTTAGCATTCTTAACCCATCTGGCCAGTCTAGGCATATCTACCCACATATAACATTGTCTACCTTTTGCCCACTTCCACTCCACCGTTTTCTTCAGCACATGTATTAAGAAATATTACAGCTGTATGTGTGACTAAAACTAAATTCAAATGTATTTGAAAACTAATAGCTGAGAAAATTGATGAACATTAAAGGGGATGAATTCAAGAAAGGCAAAAGGATAAAAGAAATGACTGGACAACCACTGCTAGAAACATTTTTTGAGGTGCTGAACTGGAATTTATCCATGATAATGAAAGAGTTGCACAGAATAGAATGGAATGGATGATGACCGAGCAAATGAATGAACAAACACAGGGATTTTGTTTACTTTAATGATGTTCTCATGAACATATAGTAGATCTCTATATACAAAAATAAGAAAGAGACAAACACTGTTCTTTGGCCACATAATTAGAAGAGAGACATTGGAGACCATTGCGACAACTGGAAAGGTCAGTGGAAACAAAAGTTGAGGCAGACCAAGAGAGATGATGCTGGATGAGCTGAAATGATGGCATTAAAATAGCTGTTCCAGGCAACCAGGGATCGTGATCTGTGGGGGTGCATGAACGCCTATGCCAGTTGTCAGGGCACATGATGATGATGATGAATAATGTTCTTTATAAGTACTTAATGCATGCATATATTGATGCTTAATAATATTTTTATTATTCAAATAACCCTCACGTATTTACCTTATTACAATTTTATGCTTTTCTTTTTTGCAGATATCATCATAGGATCTCTCACTATCAGATTGAATTTAATCATAATAAGTTCATTATAGGAACATTTCGATTCCCCACCATGAATAAACTGATAGAATACTTCAAATGTCATCCTTTGTATGAAACGGCCAGACTGACTCAACCAGCCACTGAAGAACTGCAGAAGGATGGAATAGATAAGGTCGGTTTATGTCAGCTAATGTTTGCATGTTCCTATCAGCTTGGATCTACATATTATTCCAGTATTTTATTCTGAAATTATTGTTTCTAAATATATTTTGTTATATGTATTTGCTTTACTGCTGTTATGATATCTAAGTTAAGTTAGTTGCGTATTTGGAGTGGACATACTTCCGTTCATGCAAATTCAGGTGATATCATAACAGGTGCTAGAAATGCCCACCATTGGCATCCAGGCAGTATTGGACGTGGCATTCCATGCTGTAGAAAGTCCATCTCAGTACGTCAGGGGTCACTGCTTGGATGGCCGCACTGATGCTTGCTTTCACAGCCTCTGTGGTTTGGGGTTTGTTGGCAAAAACCATTTCCAGCGCTTATCGCTTATTATCTTTATTAGTGTCCGAGTTATGAACGAAATACTGGGTTAATAAACTTGTGATATTATGTATGACACATAGCTTGGTGTATAGTAAAACCTAGGAGTGCTGGACATTACAGTCAGATGCGGTGAATGGCAGAATGTAGAATAATAGTTTATATAGCAATGCACAATCTGTGTTCCGTCGTGGCAGTCAGTGATCCTTTCCTTGGGAACAATTTGTAGTAGAATCAACAATACATGTGTGATAGGGTGGAAACGGTCATTAAGTATTATTGTTTTATGTCATCAAGTAAATAAGGTTTCTGTATCTGTCGACTTACATTCTTGTTATTTTAGTTAGCGTGCCTAGGTTTTACTGTTACACTATATTAGACCCTACACAGAAGATTTCCTGTCAGGGTGAGATATTTTTTTATCTTACCCCTGCCTAAACAAACTTTTTCTCTTTTTTTTTTCTTATTACTGAAGCAGCAAAAGGTTGGGTTTTGGCTCCCACTCGCCACATCACATTGTTTAGAGCTCTTGTAGGTTCGGAGTCAAGGAGATTTCAAGGAGTAGATTTCCATATTATCCTTTATAGTTATCTCTTCTCTTTCCTCCATTACAAGATACCCCCTCTGCTTTGCTTCTAGTACACATGGGAAATAATTGGTGGTCTTATACTAAAAGCCAGCTGCAGTAACATGGTGGTTAGCATGATTGTCTACTGGCCCAGTGGTGATTTAATCCCATTGAAATGAGGTCCTATCAATGTATTTGGACTTCCGGGTTGACCTAATATAAAATAATCATCAGAAAGTGTTCAGTAAAGTAAAGTTGGCTTGCATGATAGTGATCACAGCACGTATTGAGCATTGACTGGTGAATATAGAAATGGTCTAACACCTTTTACTTAATCTACATCAAGGTCGGGAAAATGGCCCTTTACTGATAACTGTTACTGAATACTGTAACATTGTTCTATCTCTAAAAGTTACAGCTTTGTTTGAACATTGATAAGGTTTACACATGCAGCATTGTCACCCTGATTAACTGATGTTGCTTTGTGTGTGTGCACATTCTTGTGTACATATGTGTGTGCATGTGCATTTGTGAGCATATGCGTATGTGTATGTTTGAGAACATGCGCAGGTGATTGTTTGTTTGTATAGTCTTATTACAAACTTTTGAGAACTGTCTTACTGTGAATCTTTGAACACATAAAAGATGCAAACAGTGGAGAAAGGAGAGCAAGAAGCAATAAAAAAGATACATAGTGTGTTTTGAGGTGGACTAACAAGATGTTGGAAATATACATGCAGATCTACAAACACTTGGAGCCACCAGCTGGAAAGATAAGACAAATCAAGGGTGCATAAAGCTGAAGAAGACTGATGGACACATACACAAATTTCAATAAAATCCCCATAATGTGTGATAACTAGTTCATTCTTGAGGAATTTTTCTCTTTTTGTCTATCTTGACCTGGCCGTCATGCAGAGTAAAGAATTTCAAACTATGAGTACATATTTTAGTGTAGTTTACCATGTCTCATAGTTATTTTTTTTGTTTTTTTGTTATCAGCAGTTCAACAGAAACATCACCTTACATCATTCATGAATCAACTGGTGGTTAATGTGTTAAAAGTATTTACTTTGGTGATACAGATTTAACCTCCCACTGCAACTAGTTTTTCAAAGAGTATATTCTTCAAAGTCAGTTGTTAATTTTATTTCTGCAAAAACTATTAACATGTGAAATATGAGACTCACATTTCATCCTCAAATCCCAGTTTTCTTGTATCAGGGTGAAAAAGGATGACACTGGAGCCCTTTTTCTATAAGTCAACCTCTACGTGGGTCAGACATATGAAGCCCTTTTCCCAGTTAAATATCACTTGTGGCCCTGCCCATCATCCTGTTGCTGAATAACACTGTAGGTAAGCTCCTATCAGTACCTAAAGGGAGGTCGACCTCTAAGTGGGTCAGCCCTTTTCCCAGTCAAATATCACTTGTGGCCCTGCCACAATAAACCAAATGAATGGAGAGAATGGCAGATAATGTAGAGACAAAAACAGCCTTCATAAAAGATTAGACACCTAGGCAGACAGTGGAGAGATGATATACATGCAGACTTACAAACACTTAAAGCCACCAACTGGCATGAGAAGTCAGTCACAACTTTTTTTTTTTTTTTTTTATCTGAAAAAAATCTCACAGTATTAAGAGCAACAGTAGTGAGGATGTGCCAGTGTCAAAAGCACCTGTAGTGAGAATGTGCTGATGCCAAGAGAACCTGTGCTGAGAAAGTGCTGATGTCAAGAGCATCTGTAGTGAGGATGTGCCGATGACAAGAGCACCAGTAGTGAGGATGTGCCAGTGTCAAGAGCACCTGTAGTGAGGATATGCCGATGTCAAGAGCACCTGTAGTGAGGATGTGCAAATGTCAAGAGCACCTGTAGTGAGGACGTGTTGATGCCAAAAGAACCTGTGCTGAGAAATTACCGATGTCAAGAGCACCTGTAGTGAGGATATGCCGATGTCAAGAGCACCTGTAGTGAGGATGTGCAAATGTCAAGAGCACCTGTAGTGAGGATGTGCTGATGTCAAGAGCACCTGAAATGGTAGCAAAAATACACATAATAGAGTCATACTAATATCAAGGGAACATGAAGTATGGGCATCCAGATATCAAGTTCATAGTTTATGATTCTTGATGAAGTAGACGACATCTGAGAGCAAGACATTTGGATTGGCTTTTTACCCCACCAGGACATCACACAAGCGATAAACACCCGATGACACAAAGTGCCACCATGCGGATGAGGATCACCGTGGAGAGGTCCCAGAAACCGCGTTCAGACATTTGGCCATAATGATGACCTGCCTATATTGCGGCCCCTGGCAAAAGCCAGAGTGGGGCTTCAAATAACAAAAAATAACGTCCTAAGAAGGACATACGACGATTTAAGCAAGACATTTTGAGAGAAAAACGTTTTACAATAACTGTAACTGTTTAAAATGTGACATCATATGTATTCATTGGAGGATTCAGTCTCACAAGGAATAAAATCAGGGAATGAGTGTGGGATAAGGAAACAGTAGCTAAACCATAATAGTGACTGAGCATGTATTAGCCATAGAGGAAAATAAACAAAACTAGAAGCATGATGGAGGGGAAGGGGGAGCTAAGTACTTAACCCACACCAGACTCTTTGTAGACTTGGTCAGGATTGCTAAAATTTTACAACTTCAGGTTTTTTTTTTTAAAGAATCTAATAGTCATTCTCATGTCAACCTTTCTTAGTTGCCTCTTATGACATGTATGGTAGGTTACAGTGTTACCAATCTTCGCTTCTTTTATAAGCCTAGTAACACAGACAGATCATTTGACTGAGCATGTGTGAAGGTTTGAAGGTTTAATACTCCATGTCATTATGGCAGTATTTACCCTGTTTTCTGCATCACTTGGTGGTAAACTGGTGCATGACAAGCTGGATGATGTTGGGAACCTTTGTGAGCAAGTAAACAGTATAGAGCAGTGATTCCCAAACTGTGCACCGTGGCGCCCCAGGGAGCCGCGACCTCTTCACAGGTGTGCCGCAAAATATTAGAAGATACACGAGTTTTATTTATTTATTTTTGTTATTTTTTACATACGAATAGTCACACTTTTACTTAGGTTAGGGCACTGTGGAAAAATTGTAATTAAAAAAAAGAGGCACGACTAAGAAAAGTTTGGGAAACACTGGTATAGAGGCACAAACAGATCATCAGGGTCTGAAGAACGTGCTGAAGTTGGGGGTGACCAGGGAATGGGGCAAAGGTGAGACAGACATCAAACTGCTACTAGTACCAGTGCCTGCTAAAGATGGGAACAGAGCGCTTATGGGAATATCCCAAGGACTGTGATGTCATTATTTAACTCATCTTTACTCTGGTCTACTTTCCTGGCATGTTACTGTGATGTCTTTACTAACTGGTGCAGAAAGTTCTCAAAATAATGAAACTGTGTTGATTTCTTTGCAGGATCTCTACCCAGCACTAGACCTCTATTGTGATATCCAAGGAGGCGGAAAATTGGTAATTTTTGACTTTCTTGTACTGCTTCATACAACATAAACAACTCTGAATATAATGTTATATATGGAGTAAAGGTCTTCATGATAAGTAGTCAAGTCATTTGCCTAGTGCTCTAAAAGTTGGGCTTCATTTCACGGCTGTGTCGTTCTGATCAGGAGTGCAATTTTAACAGAAATCTCTAGAAATCTTAGCCAGCGCTACAGTGTTTGTGATCTGTGTGACACCTTTGGCTGAGGCTAGCTGGTCTGCAGAGAGACTGAGTCATATGGGATAAAGACTGCAATGAATTTGATCCTCTGACCTTTAACCTTTAACTATTTCATACAGAGTAAAACCCCATATGAAAATAGGTCACTGACTAGCACACTTGCCTGCCTGGTCTAAAATGAATACCACGAGATTTTCTGGGAGATCAAGGCAGCCAGCAAAATTCTGATACATCACCCAGCTAGTACCAATCATTCAAAAATGATGCTAGTGGCAATACACTGCAGCCACAGTGGTGCATTGGCTTAACACTTGCCTGCTGGCCTAAAGATCTTGGGTTTGATACATTGATGCTGATTTTTTTTTAAAAATGGTCTGACTTCCCACAAAATAATCAGGAACTGTCATAAAAAGTAAAGGCAGCCAGTATGATGTTAATGACGTCACCCACTAATGTCTATTGGTCTATACAAACACTTATCTAACACTGTATGCCTGATGCTCCACTAGCATGAAAATACTTTATATTAGAATATCTCATTAGGTGAAAACGTCCTTACTGAACTGGTATCAATGCCTCTCTCCTTCTGGCTGTCATCAGTGTTTCACCCTGCTCTGGTTTGTGCTGGCCGTCATCAGTGTTTCACCCTGCTCTGGTTTGTGCTGGCTGTCATCAGTGTTTCACCCTGCTCTGGTTTGTGCTGGCCATCATCAGTGTTTCACCCTGCTCTGGTTTGTGCTGGCCATCATCAGTGTTTCACCCTGCTCTGGTTTGTGCTGGCTGTCATCTGTGTTCCACCCTGCTCTGGTTTGTGCTGGCTGTCATCAGTGTTTCACCCGGTTATGGTTTGTGCTGGCCATCATCAGTGTTTCACCCTGCTCTGGTTTGTGCTGGCTGTCATCAGTGTTTCACCCTGCTCTGGTTTGTGCTGGCTGTCATCTGTGTTTCACCCTGCTCTGGTTTGTGCTGGCCATCATCAGTGTTTCACCCTGCTCTGGTTTGTGCTGGCCGTCATCAGTGTTTCACCCTGCTCTGGTTTCTGCAGGACTTGAAGGTTAGTTGTCTGTCCTTCACAGGGCATCGCAGAACCAACACAAGAATATTACATTCAGTAGTTTGCTATTACCTTCTGAATGGTCAGCTCTTGATTGATTCATTCATTGTTCCATTGTGCCATTATGTGCCTCATAGGGCTCGCTTTCTATTTCTCTGTTCCATTCCATCCTGTAAAATCACTTTGATATCATCGATGGAATCCAGCTCAGCACCTTTGGCTTGTCTCACCAACGTTCACCTTAGAGTTTCTCTTGAATGTAATTGTTTCCTGAATTTCCTATAACTGTTGATACTAATGGTTGCCCAGACATTCAGCTGTGGATACCATTGTCAAAATCAATACAACACTGCTAAATCGGCTGCAACTGGAATCAAACTATGTATCTTAAAATTATTAACTGTGTTTGCTACGCCTAAGACACAGATGCAGGTACACATAGGCCATTCAATAGGTTATTCAATACCATTAAAACATCTTAATCTATGAGTCTTGGGTTAGTAACTCGCAGAAAGATGTGTTGGTGTATTTCTAAGTATGAAAACACTTGAACACAGAGCATTTTCAGGTTAGTTGCTTATTCTTTACAGGGCATTGCAGAACCAACCCCAACAGCCCCTGGCTGTTGTGTGGTTTTTCTAGGCAAATTTACGTCCAGTAGTTTGCCAAGAACACAGAGCAGAAGGAAGAAAAAAGGAGAACATAAAAATATAAGATGGATAAGCATTTTCTAAAGCATGAAACAAGAGAAGCTGATAAAACTGTTTCAGTTACAAACAATGATTATTGAATCCCATCATTTTCTCAGAAATGTGTTACTCTAATAAATCTTTGAGCCTGAGGAGGTATAATATCACTGTGAGAACAGAAGAAGTTAGTGTTAAAAACTATTTGGGTCAAAAGAAAGCAGTACACCACAATTGTTAATCTAAGAACAGGACACGACAGACTTAACTTACACAAAAAGGTAAAGGTAAAGTCGGTAGATGTGAACCAGCATCATTGCACATGGTTATAAACCATAAATGCTCAACCACCAGTACGGACAACTGATAAGAAACTTTCACCTGTGTCGCCATTAGCACGTACCCCAGAGTGTCAACTCTGGTACCCATTTCCTAGAGGCTAGGTGAACCCCGGTAACCACCTGGTTTCGAACACCGACCATGGCTGCAGCGAGTCGCAGCTAAATTTGAAAGCAAGCCTCTTATCGACTGCGCTAATGCGGCCTCTTTAACTTACACATGCACAGAATAAAGGCTGCACAAACCGGCCAGTCTCCCTGCAAAACCACACTCTAAACATCTGAGCATATACTGCAGAACTGCCCCCCCCCCCCCTCCCTCCCCCCAAGCAAAATCAGCAAGAAAACTCATGGCTAGAGTAAACGAATAAACAAACGAACGAACAAACTTTATTTTTAAAGGGTCACAAATTAGACACGCACGCCCGTCTTACATTCGGGCCTTTCAAACACCCCTCTTTCACACAGCAGTTGTATTTTATCAGTAAAGAATGTTATGTTCATGTATTACTATGAATAAATTATTATAAATATCAAGTCAAAAATTGTGAACCACTGGAGACTTACTGCTGATGCTTTGGTTTATGGAAGAAATACAACTGATAACCTGAGCATATAACACCGATCGAAAAAACCAATAAAATTAAGAAAACAAACCTAAGAAGAATTAATCATACCAGCTAACATCAACAGATGCATAACAATTTGTTTGGTACCCCATAAATATTTTGTTTATATTATTCATCAAGTGAAAGCGTAATTCGAATAGTGTCTTCTTCATGATGCATCACGAGTTCAGTGTTCACATATTTGTGCATTATTTTTAGTGTCACAGTTAATGACTGAGTTCTCTTGCAGGTCACAGTTAGGGCACTGTATGATTTCCATGCATCATCACCAGAAGAACTATCCTTTGTGAGGGGCAGTTACATCACAAATGTTCTCATCGCAGATCAGCCATGGTAAGCAAATTATTCTTCTGTGTTTGCCCTAAAAGGATGTTTTTTACAGTGTATTTGAGTTACAGGCAGCCTGTAATATCTGTGCCTTTCGGTGTAGTATATCTGATTTAAGCCACCTCCTAATTAATCACTGTTTTATGACATGCTTACTAGAGAGTAGTGGGTCTACCCCTCCTCCACCACCTTCTTCTTCTTCTCTCTCTCTCTGTCTGCCTCTCTCTCTCTCTCTCTCTCTCTATCTTTCTGTCTCTCTGTCTCTGTCTCTCTCTCTCTCTCTCTCTCTCTCTCTCTCTCTCTCTCTCTCTCTCTCTCTCTCTCTCTCTCTCTCTCTCTCTCTCTCTCTCTCTCTCTCTCTCTCTCTCTCTTTCTCTCTCTTTCTCTCTCTTTTTTTTAATATCCCATATCCCCCATCCCCCAACTGGTACTAAAAGACTTCAAAGACAAAACTGTAAAGAATGTCTAGTCCATTACTACTAAAATAAAAGGATAACTACACAGAGAAAAGGGCAACTAGAAAAGGCAGATTTCTTTAATATGCTCGGCTACAATATAAAAATAAGACAGAATACTATATTATTCCATGGGAAAAGCACATTATGTGCTGGTTGGAACTAAAAAAAAGCAAACTAGGAACGAAACATCTGTCGTAATGTTACGCTCTTCTGTGTATCATCTTTGTCTAGTGGTTGTCCAGATATTTCTGATTTCTTCACCTTCTACCATGCACTCCACCAGCTGCATATGTTATCTGTGTCAGGTGGAGAGGTGATCATGGTGGGAAAATCAACAAACTGTTTCCGGCCAACTATGTAGAAATTGTGGACGGCAGTGCTCCCGAGGAAGATAGCAGTGTGCCTTCAGAGACCCTGCTTCGCCTGTCAGACTGCCATATTGGTAAGTGCGGTTATTTCTGTGTGATATTAATTTCTGGAATTGACAACTTTCCCTTCTGTGGCAACCACCTTGGTGTAGCGGCTAGATGCTCAGCTGCTGATCCAAAAGTCGTATGTAAAACAGAATTACCTTGGCTCCCAGACTGACTGACTGACTGTCAACCCCACCAGGACCGAGCGATAAACACCCACTGACACAAAGTGCCACCCCTTGGATCTTCTTCTTCTTCTGCATTCGACATCAGTCATGCTAAACATTGAGTCCCGTCTGGGTCATAAATAGGATTGTGCGTTTAAGGTCGCCACCGATCCCCCATAGCTTCTCTTTCAATGTGGCTCCCTTGGGCCAGATCCAGTCTTTGCTGGGAGAGGTAAGGACAGTACTGTAGTATGTGCTCAGGGGTCTGTCTTTCTGCTTCACAATCACAGGCAGCAGATTCTTTTATGCCTATCCTGTACCCCTTGGATGAGAATCACCTGGCGCAAGTCCCAGAAACCCCATTAAACCAAAAGGTTATATTTAGGGCCCTTGGCAACAGCTTTGTTAGGGCTTTAAAATAACACACACAAAATTGAAAAAGTGGCGAAAGTTACTGCTTGGCTCCCAAATTGACCCAGCCTCAAACGATGATGTTGTGGTGTTGATCACATCACCCAGTGAGTGCAGATTGGTCTATAATAATAGGTCTAGCACTATGTGCCCAATATGGCTAAAGGCCTTAAAACAGCTCCTTTTACATGGTTCTGCGGCTTAGGGTTGTGAGCATGGTTTGTAATTTTGAGTAACCCCAATTTCAGCTGTAGTCAGTTTGGCAGCAGACCACTTTGCATCAATTTCAATACTCGTATCTAGAGCCAACTGTTCAGGAAGAAATGGCAAGGCAAACTGCTGAATGTAACATAGCCTGATGAAGCCACACAGAGCTTAACAAAGGCTTTGGCTGGTTTGCAATGTTCACTAAAAGAAACACAGTTAACCTTTTCATGCTTCTTACAGGGAACTACTTGAAATTTAGATAGCGTATCATGTATAGGATTTTGCAGAACCAACCCCAGCATTGTTTTGGCTATTTATGATTTCATTAGGCAATTTTACATTCAGTAGTCTGTCATTGCTTACTGAATGGTCAGCTCTTGATACCACGGTCAAAACCAATGCACAGCAGTCTGCTGCCAAACTGCCCACAGCTGGGATCAAACCCAGTTTTTTTTCACAGATCCCACAAGAAGTTCAGAGCATAGTGCACAAACTTTGCAAAATGGGCTATACTGTGTATGCAAAAATCTGAGGAAAGCTGGCCGAATGGTTAGAACACTGGGCTCTCATGTGGTAAACCCAGTTTTGAATCCTTGGTAAGACTGAGGATTTGATTCTGTTGGGGCAAAAATAAAATCCTCATCTGCATAGTCCATGGTGACTGTAGCCATGGGGCCCTTAATGCTCAGGTTCAAAGACCACACTCCCCCTTACCCCGCCTACACCACAAAAGTGGTAGAATAAAGGCACTAACTGGCAGTTTATTTATTTATTATGGCAGTTATTATTAAGTCATATATGCCTTGTTTCCTTTGGTGGAATATTTTTCCATCTGAGAAACTATGCCTGGATATTTGTTCTTGCCATTATGGACCTTCAACCGCCGGGGGATTTTTCATGATTGCAATAGTCACGTGAGACCTGCAAGTCTTTTGTGCTTGTACAAAAAATGCTAGAGGTCCGATCCACTCTCTCAAGATCACAGGGGTGTGTACCATCCTGTTTTCTTGAGACAAATCAGATCTGCTTCAGCCTTGGGCAGATGTCATAAGTTGATATGACTATTCTGAAATCTTACAGAACAGTCTAAATTTGGGAGTTGATTTGTATCAAAAGAGACATAAAACTGCATGACAAAGACAACTGGTAGGAGCAACACCATGTGCTGATTACTTTAAGAGAGTGCCTGGAGAGGCAAGGAACCAACAGTCTGCATTCAAGTGAATCAGATCTGTAAAACTGATACACACACAACACTCAGGTTCTGGAGCAGGACTGCAGTTCAGAAGTGGAGGAAGGACCATAACTTTCCGCTAGAGTGTACAGCTGGTGAATGCGAAGAAGAAGAAGAAGAAGAAGACTTCAAAAGACAGAGGGTGAGTTGGTTAGATCAGTGATGAGAATGAAGCCTGCAAAGCTACCCTTGTGTGTCTGAGAAGAATGGGTTGAAGAGCACGAGGAATACCGAGAACAGATAAATGAAACCTTACAACATTGGGTCACATTAGCCATTCAACATAAGTAGAACTAGGATATCAACTTCAGCTCTCTGCAATGCCTTTCCTGCAAATCCTGAACCAGTCAATGGAACCAAACAGTACTTTTACTGGCTTAATGGTAAGCAGGAGGAGCAGCTGGCCCAACAGTTAGAACACTGGGCTTTCAGGCGGGAGACCCAGGTTCGAATCCCCTGTAAGGCTGGAGATTTTCTCTGTCGGGGCAAAATAAAATCCCCACTTACACAGTTGTGGCAACAGCACTAGCCATGCAGCCGTAAATCCTCAGGCTCAAAGACCCCCCCACCCCCCCTTCCCCCTGCCTACACCGCACAAGTGGTATTATAAAGGCAGTAACTGGCAGTTAAGGGTGAACAGACGCGATTTATCTTCTGCCAAAAAATTTTCTTGAATCTTATATTAACTTCATAGTTTTACTATATATATATGTGTGTGTGTGTTTTAATATCTATCTAAATCTGCAGACAGCACTACTTACTCAGAAGATGGCATACACAATATGTTCACACTGGTAAATCACACTAAAGGATGTTTTTTTTTTAATTTACTCACCTATATATAAGCTTGAAATTATATATATATATATATATAAATTAATTACTGTGTTACCATCATGCCACAACACATAAAATCAGACAAAAATCATATTATCGGCTGTCTTAATGCCAGGACAAGAATTTCATGTGTTGCGCTGACATTTCATGTTTCCTGATTAACTGTCTATTGACTGCAACAACGTTTCCAGGTAACTGGTGTCACCTGAGATCTTCCAAGACCTAGAAGACAAAGGTGACCGTACAAAGGCAGGACAGTTTTACTGGAGCAGTTCACTCATGGAACCATTTCAAGTCTGCTCAAAGGGCAAAGAAAACATAATACAACAAACACATTTCTCTGAACACTGTTTTTGTGCAGTTTGAGTGAAGCAAACATATGTCCACTATGGCCTGTCCAGTGCCCTAAAATTCAACCACACCTCATCCAGATAAGACTTCAGTAGACAAGTGTGCACATCAGATGGCGCTTTAAAGGCAATGACAGTCACACATGTTCTCAGACAAGTCAAGATTAATGATGCAAAGGTACAGATGCAGATTGCCCGAAAACTTGGTTGCAATCAGACAAAAACTACCAGAGTTACTGAAGAAAATTTGAAGTGTTAACTTTTTTTTTGCAAAAGAGTATACTGTAACACTGACTGACCCACTGACTGACTTACTTGAATTGAAGATACCACCAGAACCTTCAGCAGGGTAAGGCTGGCAATAAAAAGAAAGAATGAACATGAGTCATGTGAAAAGACTAGTCTTAGTAAAGCGAAAAAGGAGAAGCATTGTAAAGCAGAACATGCCTTTACTAGGAGCTAACATTACTGTACACTGCATGCACGCACACACACTGTTTATAGCTCTCTTTTCTTTAAGGTTTATTTTTTCAGGTGCAGGCAAATTTTGTGAAACATCTTCACTCAGTGAGGAACGGGTTGGTCGGGATGATAAACAAATGATTCTGTTAGTATATTTTGTTTTTAAAAATTGTTTAAACAATAAAACAAAAAACAAAAACTCTGTTTAAGATTGCTGATTACAGTTGTTATTTCAGACAGTAGTTTTTATTTTATTGTTTTTGCCATGTTCATGTAATGTGGGTGATGACTGAAACCATCTTGCATCCCCTTTTAAACACAGGAGTTTGTGTTCTTGGTATAATTTTCTTGTTCATAATATGTAGTTTTGTTCTCTTCATTATATTAATTGTTGTTATACTCAAAATGGTGAATACAATCTTCTTCTTCTCTTGTTATCAAACAATTACTGGGTTGTAGTCCAGTGTCATGGTTTTCTCTGTTTGTCTTGCAGTTCCCAAATGGCTTGAGTGATGGATTTGTTCATCCTTTGGCAGGATCCAGCTACACTGTCTATCCATCACTTTCATGGTCTTTCTCTCACTTTCTGCCCAGATATTCTGCTTTAGAAGGCCTTGTACACAGTTTGGTCTGGCTGCATTCATTTTAGTTGAGCAAACTACTTCATTCTCTTTCAATATAATTTAGGCAAGGTGTTGTTCCAAACTTGTGTATTATTGGTAATCTTGCAGCAATAGTTATTTTCTGTTCTTGTGCTCTCAACACTGTTCAAGTGTATCACTGACAACATGAAGTGGGAAGGAAGATATTTGCAGTTTTGCCTTTCCTCTGAGTGTTGACCAGATCCCCTAGTCACTCCCTGCTGCAGTATTCTCCTCAGACCTTGGTGATCTATATGTACTTCTGCCTCCCAAAAGACCTTGATCACATCTAATTTGTCATGCATCAATTTACCAGCCATTCTGTCTGTCCTTTTTCCACACACCTGAGTGCCATCAAGAAAATATCGAAAGGACACAAATTACACAGGATATCTGAAGCAGTGCTTGCAGCTTTGCACAGATCACACCCTTATCCACCTTTCTCAGCATGCTTTGTGAGTTTATTACAATCATGACATGTGTGTGCAGCTGGTTCTTAAGCCAGTTGTGTTATCATAATCGAGGTCACTGAACAATGGTCATTTCCATGCATCTTCCTCTCAAGCCAGTGGAAAGCTGTAGTGACTGCCTCCACCTCCATTCTCAATCTAAATGTTGTGGTATCATATATCTTATTAACTAAGTGCCCATACACTACAGGAGAAAAATTCACAAATGTATACTATTCCTTACACAAGAAGACAGTAATCATAACTCAAACTGACAAATCGATCTTGCTTTTGGTAATACAGATACAATCAGTTCCAGATCAGCCGAATCTACCCCAAATTTTTACGCGTGACTTCAACCAATTTTGATCCAATACCAAAGTGGAATGTAGGCTGTCAGATGGTTGCCTTGAATTATCAAACACCAGACAAGCCCATGCAGATCAACCAGGCCATGTTTGCACAGAATGGAAGGTATGTGGTCTCAGTTTAGGTTTGTATACAAAGGAGGGTATGTGACCTCATTTGTAAGTTTGTATAGAAAGGTAGATGTGAGATCACAGTTGTAATTTTATTTTATAGAAAGCAAGGTATGCAGTCGCAGTTGTAAGCTTGTATAGAAAGCAAGGTTTCTGGTCTCAGTTGTAAGTTTGTATAGAAAGGAAGGTATGTGGTCTCAGTTGTAAGTTTGCATAGAAAGGAAGATATGTGGTCTCAGTTGTAAGTTTGCCTAGAAAGCAAGGTATCTGGTCTCAGTTGTGTTTGTATAGAAAGGAAGGTTTGTGGTGTCAGTTGTCAGTTTGCATAGAAAGCAAGGTATCTGGTCTCTGTTGTGTTTGAATAGAAAGGAAGGTATGTGGTCTCAGTTGTCAGTTTGCATAGAAAGGAAGGTATGTAGTCTCAGTTATTAGTTTGTATAGAAAGCAAGGTATCTGGTCTCAGATGTAAGTTTGTATAGAAAAGAAGGTATGTGGTCTCAATTGTGTTTGTATAGAAAGGAAGGTATGTGGTATCAGTTGTCAGTTTGCATAGAAAGGAAGTTATGTGGTCTAAGTTGTAAGTTTGCATAGAAAGGAAGGTATGTGGTCTCAATTGTAAGTTTGCATAGAAAGGAAGGTATGTGGTCTCAGTTATAAGATTTTATAGAAAGCAAGTTATGTGGTACAATACAACAATACAAGGTTAGCCGTGACCTCTTTCAGCTAGGGTCAGAAGACATTGCTGCTCTCTGCCCTATATCTGCTATATTTGTGTTTGTCAGTTTAAAATCGCTCGTTGCTTTTCATTGGGTTTCTCTCGAATCTGGCCGTTCTTGCTCTGCGCTCCGGTTCCTAGGCTTGGCTGCTCCGCTGTCATGGTGGGTTATGGCGAGTTGTCAGGTTGGTGTGTTCAAGGAGGGGATAACTTCTGCCCTCAAAAGTACAGGCAGTTTGGTGCCTGGGGCGGCACTTCATCATGTAATGGGTGGGATTTGATGCTGCTTAAGTGGGTCTCTTCTGTCTTGACTATCTGGCGCTGTTTGCACATTGGGTTTCAGGTTGAATGGTGCTGGCGTCCTTGTTTCTGGCATTACTTTCTGTGGTTTCGCCACTTGCCATGTTTTCCGCCGAGTTTCGGTGTTTGGATCGGTTCATCTGGTGACCAGGGTACTTCCTCTGCTGGCAGGCTTGAGTTGAGGCAGTCTGCTTCAGTTAGGTTTTTATCTGGTGGGTAGGTCTCATTCATTAAGACACTTCTGGGAACTTCTAGTTCAGAGGTTATGTGGTCTGAGTTATAAGTTTATATAGAAAGCAAGGTACGTAGTCTCAGTTATAAGTTTATATAGAAAGCAAGGTACGTAGTCTCAGTTATAAGTTTATATAGAAAGCAAGGTATGTAGTCTCAGTTATAAGTTTATATAGAAAGCAAGGTACGTAGTCTCAGTTATAAGTTTATATAGAAAGCAAGGTACGTAGTCTCAGTTATAAGTTTATATAGAAAGCAAGGTATGTAGTCTCAGTCATAAGTTTATATAGAAAGCAAGGTATGTAGTCTCAGTTATAAGTTTATATAGAAAGCAAGGTATGTAGTCTCAGTTATAAGTTTATATAGAAATCAATTAATGTGGTCTCAATTGTAAGTTTATACAGTAAGCAAGTTATGTGGTCTGAGTTATAAGTTTATATAGAAAACAAATTATATAGTCTGAGTTAGAAGTTTATATAGAAAGCAAGGTATGTGGTCCACCTGTAAGTATGTTCAGAATAGAAGGTATTTAATATCCATTAAAAGTCTATAGAAAAAAAGTTTTGCAACATCAGTGTTATGTTTGTGGCTAATGGAATGTTTAAAATAATTAGAGATATGTGACATAAGTACTTATATATATATATATATAATTTAGTCAAATATCATAGGTAATCTAATGACAGATGCCAATTGTCACAGATTTCAACACAAGCTTGTGAACCAGCTGTCATGTCACAAATTTCAACACAAGCTTGTGAAGCAGCTGTCATGTTACAGATTCCAACACAAGCTTGTGAAGCAGCTGTCATGTCACAGATTCCAACACAAGCTTGTGAACCAGATGTCATGTCACAGATTCCAACACAAGCTTGTGAACCAGCTGTCATGTCACAGATTCCAACACAAGCTTGTGAACCAGCTGTCATGTCACAGATTCCAACACAAGCATGTGAACCAGCTGTCATGTCACAGATTTCAACACAAGCTTGTGAACCAACTGTCACCAATTCTAACAAATATTTGTGAACCAGTTTTCATGTTCCATATTTCAACACAAGTTTGTGAACCAGCTGTCATGTTACAGATCCCAACACAAGCTTGTGAACCAGCTGTCATGTTACAGATTCTAAAAAATATTTCTGAACCAGCTTCCATATCCCATATTCCAACACAAGCTTGTGAACCAGCTGCCTTGTCACAGATTCTAAAATATATTTCTGAACCAGCTTCCATGTTCCATATTCGAACACAAGCTTGTGAACCAGCTGTCATGTCACAGATTCCAACACAAGCTTGTGAACTACCTAACAAATATTTGTGAAACATCTGTCACCAGTTCTTACAAATATCTGTGAACCACTTTCCATCTCCCATATTCCAACACAAGCTTGTGAACCAGCTGTCTTATCACAGATTCTAACAAATATTTGTGAGCCAGTCTCCATGTTCCATATTCCAACACAAACTTGTGAACCAGCTGTCATGTCACAGATTCCAACACAAGCTTGTGAACTACCTAACAAATATTTGTGAAACATCTGTCACCAGTTCTTACAAATATCTGTGAACCACTTTCCATCTCCCATATTCCAACACAAGCTTGTGAACCAGCTGTCTTATCACAGATTCTAACAAATATTTGTGAGCCAGTCTCCATGTTCCATATTCCAACACAAACTTGTGAACCAGCTGTCATGTCACAGATTCCAACACAAGCTTGTGAACCAGCTGTCATGTCACATATTCCAACACAAACTTGTGAACCAGCTGTCATGTTACAGATTCCAACACAAGCTTGTGAACTACCTATCATGTCACAGAAGGTGATATTGGCACAGTGGTTGACATATATTGAAATGCAGTGCTGTAGTAAAGCTTTAAAAATCTTTTTAAAATAGATAGGAAATAACAAAGCTTTACCGAACCATTTACAATAAACAAGCAAAGCACATTACAGTGATTAGAAACAAAACATGAAAATGAACTGACTCTAAGATGAATGTCATAATGTAGTCATTTTAGAGTCAGCTCATTTTTTGAGTTGTGGTTTTCTTATTGTCATTCTGCTGCTGTAGGTTAGTCACAGTAACATCCTTGTTTGTTGTAACTGGAACTGTAAAGCTGTCATGTATTTTATGTTTTTACTATTCCTTTTTGTTGGTACAGTGGATAGTGTGTTTGCTTATTAAACAGTCATTAAGGTCCTTTCATCACTAGTGGCCAGACTAGGTTTAGGGCATGGGGTTGACTTAGGAAACTGTTACTGTTAAGAAAAACATTCACAAGTAAAGCAGTGATTTATTTTGTAGTGATCTGACATATGGAGAGAAAAAAAAAACACTTTTAATCATTAAATGCCATTAAATTACCATTATCAGGTGGGTTAGTCACAAAGGTCCAAGCTGTTTGAATAGAGTTTATCTCCTGTTGATCAGAATATTTTGACCACCACATCAAGCATCGAGGGCTTAGAGAGAAAAGGGCTGAAAGGCGCAGTAAAAAACATGATAGAGGTCAATCCCCCCCCCCCCCCCCCCTACAAGTTTGGATACAAGACACTGAAAACAGGTTGGATTTCAAAGGACATATGGCTGACGAACTGGGTACAGAAAGAGAGACTTTTAAGCATGCCCTGAAGTTGGTGACATTCTGTAGTAGACCTGATGTGTGATGATGATTAGACAGAAACAAATTTTAATCTGAGTTAGCCTGTTATAAATCTTTTGAACATCAGAGAATATCTGCCAGTTTGAAGAGAATTAGAGAGAGGTGAAAAAAAAGGGGTTTGGGTAGGACATGGGGTGAGCTGTACACAATAGCCAAAAGATAGAACAATTTGATACAAGTTGGCTGATGCCTAACTCTGTTGAAAATTATAAATAGAAGAAGAAACTGATACATATTTTTTGTTACAGCAATTACATGGTCATATCAGCATCACTGTCTTCTGTTACACCTGTGTCATTCATCAGGTGCGGCTATGTCCTCAAGCCACGTTTCATGAACAGCTCCCACTACAACCCATCTGAGATCACGTCTCTGAAAAAGGATGTGGAAGCTGTAGTTCTGACAGTTACAGTCCTAGGAGGGAGAAACTTGGGCAGCATGTTATCAGCAGTTGGAGTCATGCAACCTTTTGTCATGGTTGAAGTCCTAGGTTTACCTTTGGATTGTCAGACACAACGAACAAAGATATCCCAAGGTAAATTGAAACAGTCTAGAGTTCAGTTCAGAGAAACAGATAAAAAAAATACTACTCCTCTTTTCTGTTATCTCCTGGTGGAGTTTAGTAAAAAGTAAAGGACCTTTCTTATCCCATTTTTGCCCCAGGCATAAGATGCTAGATTCCCGCGAAGGCTTACCCAGTCAACAAATGCCCACAGAAGTCAGATGTGTTGGCCAAAAGGTGTAAATATCACAGCCGTGATATATGTAAATGGGCACAACCCAATTACATCTTTGGACAAACGCAAACGAAGAAGATGCTTGATCCATAATTTTTGTAGACCAATTGGTTCTTGGTGGGTCAGCTTCACAATAGTTGCCTTTACATACCTGGATATTACCTGATACCCATTTCAGGCTGGATTGACTGGGGGCCGAGGTCAGTTTTGAAAATAAATAAACCGTAAAAAGAATCTGCCACAATACGGATTCAAAACCAAGACTTTTGAGTTGGCAAGCCAATGGAACATATACACTCAACAAACTCACACCACACCCAGTCTTGCTATCTCCTGCACCTCTCACCATACAGTATTCATCTTCTTCTCCTCCTCCTTCTTCTTCGTTCACCGGCTGTGAATTCCGGCGGAAGGTCCCGGTTAATCGTCCGCTTGGAAATTTTGGCATTTACCTGGACCTGAGTTTTGCGTGTACAACCATTTTATTGGCTTTTGCCGTTCCCTGCCTCACGAGCAGATGTACTCCGACTTTGAGGGAAGACGTCAGGCCTATTTCTAGGATAACTGTGGCCAGTGTTTTGTGTGGGGGTCGAGATGTGACCTTATTTGTGTGGTGTCCTCTTTGTCCCTTTCTCCACAGGTGTTGCCTCCGTAGTACCCCCTTGGGAGCAGCCCTGTATGGAACAGTTGGCCCTCAAGGGAAGACAGAGTCAGATTATGGGCATTCCCCGTCACATAACGCTCTGGTTCTGGGCTCACTCAAGGATCTCACGTTGCTTAACCTCACAACCATATTAGGCTTCCCGCTCGACACGGGCTGAGCCCTCCGGAGAACGAAGAAACGAATTTTATTTTCAAAGGGTTACAAATTAGGCACGCAGGCCTGTCTTACATTCGGCCCTTCTGGAGATTAGCGGGGAGCAGCCCGTGGGTTTTGGACTTTTGTGACCACACGAATAGGTATAATCTTTTTCGTAGCATGATTGTCATCTTTAGCATACTGTTAGCACGACAGAATTGAGAATCATGCGTCAGGCATGTCTTTCTCTGTTTGGTCCCAACACTCGGGCGAGTGAGGTCTCGGGATGTGGACATTTGGACTTGTTCCCAGTCAATATGATTTATGATGGTCGGATTTTGAGCTTGCTCGTGTGCCGTAGGATCTATTTTTGTCAGACATTTGGGCTTTACCTGCCGATGGATGGTTGCTGTCTTGGTGCACCTCAGCGTGGTGGCGACGACACTGAAGGTTGACAGAGTATGTACATGGGTAGAATCTTGCTGCGAGACGCCACCCACAGGAGATGTTACTCGTCTGTGCTGTGGGTAAATCTCTAGGTCAAGGGTTGAATCTCAGCAACACAATGTTCTCTTTACCCCACAAACTTTTAACCAAGGGTTGTAATTTTAGTTGTACGTTTGGCAAGCACTTTACTCATGTTCCTAATGAGTTTTGAGAAGCTTTTCACCCATGCGTTTGGGGGCGGGCTGATGAGAGCCACTAGGACACTACACCTCTGGGGGCCGCCAAACTCCGAGATCCCCTGACAGCTCTGTTAATGCTCATTTGAGACATTATTCGTGGCGCACGACGAGGACGTGCTGCAGGAGTCTTGCGTGAGGTTCCGTAAAACCAGAACAGTGCAGGACTGAAAAGTATTCATCTATAACTCTCTTCTTCCTGTGCATTAACATCTGTTAAAATTTTGCCTGTGAGTTCCTGGGCAAGGGCTTTATACTGTTAACAGGTTTTCCTAGTGGGTACCCCATCCAGCACCAGCAACTTTTCCTCGCTTCACAATTCCTTGAATGGGTTTAGTTCTCTCCAAAAGCTGTACAGCAGTGATTCTGTCATAGCATGTTAACCTTGCTGTTCAGAGGATGCAACAGTTATTGAATGCATTTAGTTTATAAATAATTACTTTGGTTGTTCCTGTTTTTTTTTCTGATGCCTGCAGCATTATAAATATATTAAATATGTTCTCATTCAGACCCACAAACCTCTTTCCCATTTTGCTTTATAATGATGTAAATGATTCCATCTCTTCACAAACGGAGATCAGATTATCATTCTCTTCATTTATTTTCATTATTTGTGTCTTTCCCATTGAATTTTTAGACCTAATTGTTGGGGTCTCCATAAGGATGTTTCATTTATGCCTTACATTAAATTGCTAAAATAAAAAACACAACCTACTATAAAAGACCAGCAACTTTACAAGACCTTTTGTTAATATTTTTATTCTTAATTGCCCCAACCATTTGTCCATTTCTTTGTTTCTGATAAATTACCAGATTAGTTAATTTTGTTCAAATAAAATTAAAGTTGAGAGAATCAACGTCATTGTATTGGATTTCGTTCCTCTGGCTTGGTCTCTCTCTCTCTCTGTTTCTGCAGCCACCTACCGAGAACATTGCACGTGTACAAACTCCATAACTCCAGCAACAATCATTAAGGATGTTTGTTTTAAAAAAACAAAAACTCTACCTGTTAACCGAATCATGCCCCCACTGAAGAAACCCACAGTCTTCAGAGTGCCAGGCAAACGACTTTACCACTTCACCATGGGAACGACGATGCCCATTTTGTTTACCTAATTCAATGTAAATAGATTAGACTGATAACTTCTTTAATGTTTTACTTCCAGACAAAAATGTCCTCAACCCAGTGTGGAAGAATGAGGTATTTGTCTTCCATATCTCATGTCCAGACTTAGCTTTTATCAGGTTTGAAGTAGGCAGTGAGGTCAGCCAAGCTGCATGCCTGGGCCAGGCCACGTTTCATCTGAAAAGCATTCGCCAAGGTGAGTTTGATGGAATTCAGGAGATTATAAGCAAATGTTATTTACATCATAAACAAGTTTGTGAGTACTTTGATTAAACGGGTGCTCTTTGGGAACAAGCAACAGAATCAGTAAAGAAAGAAGATTATTATGGCCTAGAGAGAATGAGGCACCTGGGTTTAACCAGAGGGTCTGGCTGGCTCACTACATTCAGAGGAAAAGTAAGACAGACATATAACCAGATTGTGACCGGTACCATCAGTATTGGAATTCTGCTCTGGCTGCTGAAGATGAGGACGAAGCATGCATGGGAATGCCACAAGTTCTGTGATGTCAATTCTTGACTGAACTCAACGGGAAAAAAGATAAAATATGTACGATCTCTGAGGGAGACTTAGTGCCTACAGGTTTGCTGAGAGTGCAGTAATATCAATTTAGTAAGTAATAGAGAATGGTCTGCCACAAACTGCCCCAGAGAGCTGGGTGAAGAAATATAAATACAGAGCAAGAGAAAACTATGCAAAAGATATGACAACAGAATCAAGCACTGGCATAAACAAATGAGGAGAAAACTTAATCAATGCTTATAAAGAGCACACTGAAGATCCTTACACCCCAGCACAACATTTTGTTGAGGCAACAACAGGAAGAGGAGCAGAATAGGAAGCAACAAAGGGTCATGACAGTACAGTTGTATAATTGTCTGTGCACTTCCTTACCAACACCGGAATTCAGGGCTCAATCACTAATAGGACCAGGACTGAGTTGTTCTCACACAAGCATATCTGTGGAGTATGACATCATAAAGGTGGGGTCTAAACATTTATCAGAGAAAAATACTGGGGGCCGGGGGACTGGGGGGAGGGGGGGGGTGTATGGGTAAGGGAAGGTATGGATAGGTCGGCTGGTCCTATCTCTTGATGCCACAAACTGATTTATAAGGTTTACGATGAGCTAAATATTTTCGTTTTTATATTTTCTAAATACTGTAACCGATTTATATTTTGAACCTAAATACATTTTGAAAAAATAAATAAAAACAAAGAAACTGACAGAAAAGAATCAGTGTGTTGAGACTAATTAAGTTAAAGGAAAGTAAATATATATTACCGGTGGTCATATGTGTGTTAGTAATTGTCTTTCAGTGTGCAAAGTATAATTAGTTCAAATTGCACCATGGTAGAAAAGTATGGAAAGTTTACATGTTTTTTTTTTCAAATACTTGTCTGGCAGCTAGCATCTTCTCTCTAAATCGTTTCCAGTGGTCATGTGTTCAAATCCCCATCCAGACATTGATATTTTTAATTCTGCCTTTGCTTCTAGTTTAATCCAAACTAATCCCTTATTGAGTGCCAATTCTTTTACATCCAGTTAGCACCACATAGGAAGCCTCCATGGTGTAGCGACTAGATGCTCACCTGCGGGTCGGAAGGTTGTGGCTTCGGGTCCTGACAGAGTCTGACTTTTTTCAAAAAATACCTTGGCTCCCAGGTCGACCCAGTCTTAAATGGGTACCAGGTCAAGTCCTAGGAAGTAAAGGTGGCTGGCAGGCTGCTGACAACATCACCCACCATGTGCCGATTGGTCTGTAAAATATAGGCCTAGCCCTATATACCTGAGGGCGTGAAAAAAGATCCTTTACTTAGAACCCCCTAACTAATAAAACTTAAAACATGTAAAAATAGTTTTCCTTTTTTTTTTTATTTTAACCTCACCGTGTACACCAAGCTTTTTATGTTAGTATACTTGTTCATTGTGTTTTTTGTCCCATGCAGCATTAGTATTAAAATCTGATAGGCCTAAAAGAGTGACACAGACGGGCTAAACACATGACAAGAGCCCATGATATGCCTAGGCTAAAACATGTGACAAGAGCCTATGATATGCCTAGGCTAAAACATGTGACAAGAGCCCATGATATGCCTAGGCTAAAACACGTGACAAGAGCTCATGATATGCCTAGGCTATAACATGTGACAAGAGCCCATGATATGCCTAGGCTAAAACACGTGACTAGAGTTCATGATATGACTAGGCTAAAACTCATAACAAGAGCCCATGATATGCCTAGGCTAAAACTCATGACAAGAGCCCATGATATGACTAGGCTAAAACTCATGACAAGAGTCCATGATATGGCTAGGCTAAAACTCATGACAAGAGTCCATGATATGTCTAGGCTAAAACTCATGACAAGAGCCCATGATATGGCTAGGCTAAAACTCATATAACAAGAGTCCATGATATGCCTAGGCTAAAACTCATATAACAAGAGTCCATGATATGCCTAGGCTAAAACTCATATAACAAGAGTCCATCATATGCCTAGGCTAACTAACACTCATAACAAGAGTTTATGATATGCCTAGGCTGAAACACTGGAGCCCGTGATATGCCTAGGCTAAAACACATGAGTGCTTGAAATTACTGGGCTAATACACATAAGAATCCATTATATTCCTGGGCTAATACACATAACAGTCAATGAAATGCCTGAGCTAAAACATGTGTGCATGAAATTACTGGGCTAATACACACAAGAATCCATGATATTCCTGGGCTAATACACACAAGAATCCATGATATGCCGGGGCTAAAACACATGAGCCCATGATGTGCCTAGGCTAAAACACATGGCAAGAGCCCAGGATATGCCTAAACTAAAACACATATGCCCATGTAATGCCTGGGCTAAAACACATGACAAGAGTCCATGATATGTCTAGGATAAAAAACATGAGTGCGTGAAATTACTGGGCTACTACACATAAGAATCCATGATATTCCTAGGCTAATAAACATAAGAATCCATAATATTCCTGGGCTAATACACAAAAGAATCTATGATATTCCTGGGCTATTACACATAAGAATCCATGATATTCCTGGTCTATTACACATAAGAATCCATGATATTCCTGGTCTATTACACATAAGAATCCATGATATTCCTGGGCTATTACACATAAGAATCCATGATATTCCTAGTCTAATACACATAAGAATCCATGATATTCCTAGGCTAATACACATAAGAATCCATGATATTCCTAGGCTAATACACATAAGAATCCATGATATTCCATGTCTATTACACATAAGAATCCATGATATTCCTAGACTAATAAACATAAGAACCCATGATATTCTTAGGCTAATACACATAAGAATCCATGATATTCCTAGGCTAATACACATAGGAATCCATGATATTCATGGGCTATTACACATAAGAATCCATTATATTCCTGGTCTATTACACATAAGAATCCATGATATTCCTAGGCTAATGCACATAAGAATCCATGATATTCCTGGTCTATTACACATAAGAATCCATGATATTCCTAGGCTAATACACATAAGAATCCATGATATTCCTGGGCTATTACACATAAGAATCCATGATATTCCTGGGCTATTACACATAAGATTTCATAATATTTCTGGGCTAATACACATAAAAATCCATGATACGCCTGGTCACAAAACGGGCCAGAACACAAGAATCTATGATAAGTTTTGGCTAAAACACATGACCAAAAGATTCCATGACATGTGTGGGTTTAAAAACTCATGATGTATGAACACTCATTTCATGGACAGTCTAAATTCACTGGTCATAGAATTTATATCGCCTGTAAAAAAAATTTGTACTTACATAAATTTGCATTCAATATTTGTGATTCGCCTTCCTTCTCCATTGTCATTACTAAAGGAACCTTTTATTTAATGACAGTCTACATTTGCTTGTAAAATTCATGTCACACTGGAATATTATTGACAGTTCCTTCATCTTCTCAAAAGCATTCCCTAGGTTCCTAACCTTTTACACCATTATGTAATTCCAGGTAAAGTATAACAGACAAGCTTATAATATTGTTTACTTGTTTGCTGTGTAGGGTATCGCAGTGTACCTCTTCAGAATGTTTACAGTGAGGCTCTGGCCTCATCCTCCTTGCTTGTTCACATCAACATCAGAAATCCAAAGGTATCTTTCTTCTCATTTATTATCATACTTTTTATTAAAGAAAAGAAAAGTAAGAATGCTATTATATGATATGCAGTTTTGTCCCTTTTTGTTAACTAAAATGCAATGGGATCTTCATAAAAGTAAAGTAGAGATCCATTTTTACGCCTTAGGCACATCCAGCATATGGGAAGAGCATTCTATATTTTTACAGACCAATTAGCACTAGGTAGGTAATGTGGTCAGCATTACGCCAGCCATCTTTACTTCTCAAGGACTTACGCGAAATAGAACCCCTAACAAGCCATGCAAACTCTACGGCCAGTTAATTTTGAAAACAATCAATCTAGACAAATTGAGGGGATCTTCATGCTGTATACTAAATCCTTATAGCGACATTTGGCCTGCTCTTTTTAATTTTCAACTGTTCAGGGAAGACTAGTTGACTACTTAACTACCGCAGGATGCATCTTTAGGTCCATTGGAATCCATCAAGGATTTTCAAAACACCTGCACTCACATACCAGACAGAACCAAGGTAGATATGCTTTGTTGTAAATCTGTCAGCAAGAGTTAGGATACATAATCCTAGGTCTGAAGGTCTTGGATTCAAATCCCTATTTAGGCAGATCATTTTCATTACTGACCTTGGCTTCCAGGTCAGCCCAGCCTAAAATGAGTATCAAGTAATGGACTTGGAAGTAAAGGTGGCCGGCATGACGACCAAGTGCCTGTTAGTCTTTAAAACATATGAGTCTGACATCATGTGCCCGGTGTGCCGCTGGCATAAAAAGGATCCATTACCTTGATTTCTGGTGATGTCAGAAATAGATTAATACTGTATGTGCCCAACAAACAGCCATGCAGCATATAGTGACAGTTACTTTGGACTGTGGGTGCCAGGAATGGATAGCTGGTGAAACAGATTCAGCACTGCAAAAGCTGACCAATGAAGAAGAAACCATGTGTTCAGTCACTACTTTCTCACTTTTACAACATGTATAACTGGTTTTAGTTGTTTTTCTAGCTTAGTCGACCGATCAACATCATGGCACAGGGGTGTAACCCACAAGTGCTCTATTCTACTTCTAACTCAAACCTCAGTCTGAAGAGTATGATGCCTGACTGTATTGTTATAAACCAGTCAGCTATCAATGGGTGGTGATATGTTGGACCCGACATCACATTGACAGCCTTTATTTTCTCAGCTACCCATTTTAGTGTCCACATTTCCTAAAATATGCAAATGCTTTATCAAGAATGTTTCAGGAACTGGACAGTTGTAACCAGATTTGACCTTTTTTTTTTTTATTATTTATTTAAAAAAAAAAAAAACTTATGTTCTTTCCACAATGAATTCCTAGTGTTTTTTTTTGTGTCTTGCTTTGGTGAGACTGGTGTCACTCTCTTGATGTCTATACTTCCATTTGTGTTAAAATCTATCTGTTGATTGCCTGCCTTCAACTTCCACTTCAGTGTGGTTTATATTTTACTGTAGTCAAATTGTTAACATATCTTTTCTACCATTAGTACTATTTTCCTTCCTAGCTTCGTAAAACTTTTCTTCTGTATATCTAAACTTTTTTAGGATTTATAGGGCCTGAATTCCATTTATCTTTAAATCGCTTGTTGAATTTTCTATTGTTGTAACTTCCCCGCGCTAATGACTTGAATGAAAAAAATTGTTTTGTTTCAGTATTTTTAAAATTATTGTTAACTTCCATTGTCAATCAACAGGAAGAGGAAGAAAGAAATATGTTTCGCATTGTAGAGGAAACTAGAAAGCTTTACATGGAACTCAGCATGTCAGTGCAGAATGACAAGAAGAGAGAGCAACTACAGCAGACAGAACAGAAACTTCTAGAATACCTTAAGCGAAGTCGGCAGAATGGGTAAACTTTCATTATAATGTTGTGGCTGAAATAGTCTCCCCCCATCTATCTATATCTTCTATAGGAGTTGTTGTCATTCAGTGATTTAGCTGGCTGCTCTGATTAAGTGATTAAGCAGGTTGCTCTAATTAAGTGATGATGCAGATGGCTCTGTATTGAGAAGGAAGAGAAGTGCCTGGGGTTTCGCAGCGAAAGCCAGTAGAAAATCTTTAGTGCAGAACAGCCTGGCATAAGATACCACGACATCTAGCATTAGAAAGGAGGTGGAGGCGATCACTGCAGCTTGCCGGTGGCTAGAGAACAAGATACATACACGTCGTAATTGTAACGGACTCTAAAAGCATGCTGAAAAAGGTGAAGACAGGAGAGTGGCATGCTTTGCTTGCAAGGTCACGGGTAGTGAGCATACTTTGGATCTTTTCTCTATGTCATGCCGGCATGGTAGGGAATGAATAGACAGACTGGCTGGATCTATACCGCTGAGTGGTAAATTGATGCATGACAAAGCAGATGTGGTCTGAGTACTTACGGAACAAGTAATGAAGTCAAAAGAGAAACTAGATTGGGGCTGGAGAGAATAATGCACTTGGGTGTGACCAGAGGGTTTGGCCAGCACACTACGCTCAGAGGAATGACAAGACAGAAATACAACCAGACTACAACTGGCACCATTAGTATGGGAACTCTGTGCTGGCTGCTGAAGATAGGGACAAAGCGAATATGGCTCTGAGTGCTGTGATGTCAATTCTTAACTCAACTCTGATTAAGTAATTAAGCTGGTTGTTCTGATTAAGTGATTGAGCAAATTGCTCTGATTAAGTAATTAAGCAGGTCGCTCTGATTAAGTGGGTCCTACAGTTCAGAAGGCAGTTATTGCTGAGATCCCTGCGATTGTTGCAGCAATACTTTATGCAACATTCTTGGCAGGTGGCTAGCCATTCTGTGGGAAGGAACCCACCCATAAGGGATAAAACATGTTGTCATGAAAATGACCCCTTTCAACAGTCAACTTTTTTAGTGTTTTTTTTTTCTTTTTTTTTTTTTAAATTCCCTAATGGAAAAAGATTCTATCTCATGCCGAGACCTCTTATATTTCAATACTGCATGTATTTACTTGCATGTGTTTACTGTATTATCTCTTTCGCCTTGTTTGTTTCCTAATTATATCCTGTTCATCACCAGGATCTTTAATTTATTCATTGGACATTGAAGATTATATCGTTCAGTCAGTCCTATTTTGTGCAGGCACTAGTTTCTAACTGTTTGTAATTTGTCAGTAACTGGCTAAAAAAAAAAAAAATCATTTCCTCTTTCTGATACGTACAGCAATGATTGACATAATACACATAATAGCGCTTCTAGCGATGCAGAACTGGCCCTAACCCCAACGTCCCATGAGAGAGTGCAGGCTACGTCTAGCTCTGCATGTTTTGGGACTGTTAAAAGCGCTCACATCCTTTAGTTATAGAACACGAAATATTGCCGGCCAATGACAACAACTCAGAAAATGCTGCGTGTTGTTGATTGGTCACTAATTTGACACCCCCACAACATAGCACAAGCCCTGCAACACAGCAGTTTATGAATAGGAAGGGAAGTCACTCTCTTTCTGGGCCCGAAAACGTGAGTTTTAATAAATAAAACATCAGGCAAGTTTATATGTTTAAGTGCTTGGGTATCCTGATAACATCAGATGGAAGATGTATTAAGGAAGTTAAATGTCGAATAGCTCAACAAAGGCTGCATTTTACAAAATGAACATTTTATGCAATCTTTTTTTTTATTTTTTGTGGTCAACTGAGACGAAAAAGATAATTCTTAAAAGTTATATGAATTCTATATTGATACAAGGATGTGAATCATGGACAGTTAGTAAATTAGTGAAAACTTATTTGAAAGCTACGGAGATATGGTTTATAATTGAGTTAAGTTGAATCAAGATTTGACATCACAGCACTTGGAGCATTCCCATGCATGTGCTCCATCCCCATCTTCAGCAGCCAGCGTAGAATTCCAGTACTGATGATACCGGTCACAATCTGGTTATATGTCCATCTTGCCTTTCCTCTGAGTGTAGTCAGCCGGCCAGACCCTCTGGTGCCTCATTCTCACCAGGCCATAATAATCTTGTTTCTCTACCGATTCCGCAATAAAATCTTGGTACCTTGTTCTGCACCCACCTAATGAAATGGGAAATAGATTGCGAGACAGTTCCTCCAAGAAAATAGCTTACGCAGACAAGCAATGGTATCCATGTAAAAAAAAAAGTTTTTTTTGTTTTGTTTAATATAGTAATAGTACCACACAATATTTAAGGTTAAAAAAAAAAAATGTTTGTGCACTAATAATTGTATGAAAAACCATAAAATCAGTGGTTGTTTACTAATGTTTAGATTCTGATTTCCTGCAGGTATAGAAAAACATGGAGACACTAGCAGACAGAAGCAGCTGACAGGCTGTTGTAGGCAGTACCTCGATGCAGATGTCACACTAGCAAGATATTCAGCTTGATGACCTGCTACCTCAACTTTGTGCATCTAGGAATAGGCACCATGCACGGCCATCTGCAAGGGAATCATCATAAAGTGCCTTGCCAACTGGTGTGGTCGGTCAGGCTTTTCCACATCTTGCCATTTATACCAGCATGTGTGGGTTAGTGTGCTGACTGACACTCATCCATGTCGTGACACATGACTGTCTTCTTTCATCTGCTGTCTGTCCGCCATAAATGTTTCAAACGTTACAATACATATTTCACTTTTTCTCTTCTTATACCTTGGACAGCCAAAAATGAGCAACAGGTTTTGAAAGAAACGGAAACCCAAAGACAACTGATCACAGACATCAGAAGGAGACAGGCATCATTTTTCAGCCATGTTATGAGATGAGGGAAAGAGGAACATGTGACCACTGAAAGATCTGTGGAAGGAGGGTTAGAGTTAGATGAGAGAAGATTCTTGACAGTCTTGTTGCATGGCACGGAGGTGTGGCAGCACATGAACTGATACATGCTGCAGAAGATCACAGATTGTGGAGAGGAATGATCACCCACGCCAGTCGGCAAAGCACCTAATGATGATGACTGTGGACACACCCCCCCCCCCCCCCCCACTGATGACTGTCCCTATCTGATATTATTAATAGTTGTTGAACAACTTTGGATCTCAACCTCTGTTAAAACATCTGGATTACTCGTTGTGGCTGTCCAATGAATTGTAAGCATTCTTCTGATAAATCAGATCTCTGGGGCCTCAACAAATTGTGGTGAGCTTGTTTATCTAAGATTCACAGTCGTATGTTTAAAAACTGGTTATAAATATGTATGTATATAATTTGCGATAGAAAAAAAATAATTCATGGTGACAATGCGAAAATCATCACACTCTGATGCATTGCTTTCATTTATTTGCCAATTTGCTATTCAATACAAATTATCACAACAGATGTAAATAAAACAATGGTAAATAGGCATGGCTTACTGTAAGCATTAGAGCCCAACAAGTGGTTGAAATACTGCTCAAAAAACTATGGCTCTGTTGCTCTTTCTCTCTTGTACTTAGTATTCATATTAAGTATATTGCTTATGGACTTTTCTGATGTGCTTTGAGGATAATCTTTCAATTAACTAACTGCTAATTGTTTTGCTAAATGAATTTAATATCTGTTAGCACCTTTTTATTTTTTTTGTCCTCCAGATAATAGTGTTATCTTGTGCTATATAGGATTCACAGTTTATGATTGTGATGAGACCCGCTGGTACATTAGGTGTGGGGTCTCAGGATCAATGTTACCATTGTGTGTATATAATGTGCTTCTCAGGTGTTTAGCTCTCAAACTCTCTAAAAATCAATTGCTTCTTTATTCATATTCACTGTCTGATTTTTCCCTCAACACACATAAAATACCATTGCTCTTCAAAATCTTCATGGTTGAATTAAAAACTGGCCATTGTGATCCTTTGAAAAAGTTTCTACAGAGTTATGCAGAGTGGCTGTTCACCTGCTGAAAGCATCGCGTAAAGCATGAAACTGTTTAGTTCAAAACCAAACCCACTACTTCAAGAGCAGAAAACAAATGACCTACTTTTGACACATCATCATCATTAATGTCCTGTTGTGGTATTATATCTCACACAGGGTTCAGTCTAGTCCCTTTTGTTCTGTCTTGTGCAGTCCTTTTGATCCTTTGGCTTCTCTCAGCGGCGTTAATTTTAGAGTTTTTAATGGTCATCCTCGTTTCCTCAATCTGTTTTCCATTTCAGTGCATGTTTGGTTATTCTTTGCTGGCTCTGACACAAATATATACACATATGATAGTCATACTTGAAAGGATAGTCATGTCTGGCAGGAACTCCAAGAAGGAGGGGCAGGGGCATATTTATGGCCTGCCTATATTGCGGCCCCTAGCAAAAGCCAGGTTGGGGCTTCAAATAACAAAAAATTTTGTCCTGAAAAGGACAAAATTAATTTGTGAAGATAAGTACACTGCTGAAACCCTGAAAGGGGTAGCTAAGTTATATACACATTATAGTCAGTCTGGACTGAAGAAGACCGCTAGGCTTTCCAACACAAGTAACAATCACCAGTATACTGAACGTGTACATATATGGCCAAATATTATGTGCTAGTGATTTGCAATCATGTTTTTCAGTAAACTTACATTACTGTTTGTGCCATTTCTACATTGTTCATGGCAATATCACTCATTTTGGGTTCTTGTGAAAACTGTATAGTTCCTTCCCTTTGGTAATAATATTAGACTATAGTGGTAACTTAAAAAGTTGAAAAATCTGTCAATATAATGGTGCAAGACCAGAAAATGTAATATAAAAAACTGCACCCTGCTAAAAAGGAGAACATTTCACCAATATGTGAGGTAGTCTATGGTAGGTCAATGATATAACACCCCTGTCATGAGTTGGGCGGCAACCGGGCTTTTGACATTTAAGCTTCAGACAGGAGACAGGGACTTGCTTAGCTGGACAGATGTAGAACATTAAGGTGTTACAATAATACTTTGGTGACCGCATAGATTGTGTTAAGTGTTGCGTTATGGTAGGAGAGTTTCTCTGTGTTGTGCAGCGTCTAACAGTGACAGGTGTTGTGTTGTTCCTTAATACGTAAGTAGTGTTGATTTATTCTCATCAGTATAATCGTGTGTTGATTTCTAGCCTTGGCACACTGGCCCTGCACTTTACAGAAGCTCTGGGATCCTGGTGAGGTCCAGTGGCTAGGGGAAAAGAGCATATCTTGCATAGGTGTGGTTTGCGGACCTGGAATTTGCCCGAGAGAACGCACTGGCGTGTGTAGTGAATGTAAAGCTCACACGGCCAGGGTCCGGGTAACAGGTGGCCACACAGCGGGAAGTCAACTGTCCTATTATTAATTTGAGATTTACATTAATAACTGTCATGTGTGCTCTGTGAGTGTCCGGTTTCAGTGTGTACTAGATTAGACTGTCTGTCAGAGGCCCACACAGCGAGCCACGGACCATCAAGGTCAATCAGAGGTCTGTGACAGTGACATATATCCTCTTCTTGTGCCATTAGGTCACACAGGGCTTACAGTCAGTTCTTCCATTCCGACCTAGCTGAGCAATTGTTTGAATATCATGTAAAGAATCTAGACCAGCACCTTGGGACTCTTGTCACCAACGCCGTGTTACAGTTCCTTTCGGATGTCCTCATTTTCTCGGTCCATTTAAATTCCATATAAGTGTGCCACAGATGTGTTTCTGATTTCATTTATGCTGACCGACCATCTGGGCAAAAATTACACCTACTGCAACCTTACAGACTAACTGATTTGAAATCATGTATGCTGCCTTTTGCTTAGATATAGTAATGAATTTTGCAGTTTCTTTCTAAAATGTGTATTTCTTGTTCTTGCTGATGTGTGTCTTATTGGGAAGATTTAGTATTCACCAGGTGGGGGAGGGGGGGGGGGGTGTGTGTGTGTCATGGGAACCAATAAATTATGAAGCTCCTAATTATTATAATAGGCAATTTTGAAAAAAATTAGTTACAAACTTCTTGACAACTCTGCTGTCAGTCAGCGGTGCCTAAGCTGGTTCTTTTGGAGCAGAAACTTGCCACCTGGTGCTGATGGGAAGCATCAAGACAAACCATATCCTGACTTGTTACCGGCAAATAACATTCACTCTGTAAGAATATAAATATTTATATATAAAAACTAAAAACCCCACCAGAAGCAATAGTTGAAAATCAAAGTGAAATAATTGAAGACAAGTACAGAGTGAAAAGACAAAGAAACAGCAAGAAGGAAAGAAGAAAAAAAGCCAGTATTAAATAAGAGAAGGTAGACAAGAAAGAAAAGCAAATTTCAGATGATATTCAGATAGAGAGACTAGAACTAATAATTCATAAATGTTGAACAACTACTGTACCACTCAAGTACTAAATGTTCTACTAACTATATGAATCCATTTCTACTTAAAACTTTGTTACCAAACTATAACTGCCTACAGAATGTCATGAGTGCATGTTCACTGTTGTGGCCAGTACTATGCTGAAATTTTCTATTTCTTGTGTTCGATAAAACACGTGATGACCATCAGATTTATTTGAAAATGTTAAAAGCCTGAACTATAGTATGTTTGCGAGGTTTATCGAGTTACTAACTGTTTGAAAGCAATATGGTGGCCAAGCAGTATTCTACATGCATGCCAGCGTGACTGACCTTTTTGGAAGCCTTAAATTTTATTTATTCACTTATTGTCAAACTTTGATGAGGGATAGCTCTATTTTATGTGCCTCATGCAAAGCGTACAATAAAAAAAATCAGCTGGCACAAAGAATTAATATTATTAATAGTGAACATTAATTTTTTTTTTTTTTTTAGTGCCAGTTAATTCTAGTGCTATTCCCCTTATTTTTTAGGAATATAGCAACAAAATTACATCAAATTTTGTGTTATAAACATTTTGTGTGAAGATACTAATTGTTTTGGGAAGTCAATTCTCTTTACCAGATAATGGTGCTCTGTGATGATGCTCCAAAAGTTTCTCTGGAACAAAATCTATCATTCAGTTTGAGTTTATTTTGCTTATTCATTACTAGGTGGTTCATATACATTTCTTATTCATTTTTATAGTTTTATAGTTTTTATTGAGCGCCATGGGGGCTAAGGGGAAAAAATGATTTTATTTTACTAATGACTAATGTCTTTAAAAATACCGTCTGTTTATTTACTAATATTTAACTGTTATAACTATTTGTTGTAGCAGTATTCGGCTATTTTCTAAATAATGGCCCCAAATTATCGAGGCTGAAAATATACCCAGGACCTCAGTCACATGTCAATTGCGGACCTCTGGCGACTTAATTTGCGCACTTCCGGCGACTACCGCCACCAACAAGAGTATCTTCCCTTTACCTACCCCCTCCCTCTACCTACCCCCTCCCTCCCTCTACCTA